GTGATCTTCTGGTCGGTCGTTATAAAATAATCCTCACCCAAATTTGCGCGATGCTATACCTAGCAAGACGCAATAACACTTCAAACACTTGTTACGACTGGCGGCGTGGCGTCTTGTTCCGTCCCGGTCTCCAACTGCCCTTCCGCTAGTCCGTCCGTTCGTTATATCTCAGTCGGTTAGGGTAAACTAGAGTAGGTGGGGGTGTGGCCTTTGTCCAGTAGTTTTCCGGTCGGAAGTCGTGTCGTAGGGGTGTGACCCTTGTCCAGTCCAGTAGTCCAGTATCTTTCCAAAGTATGTGGGACGCTCCCCTTCACCCGCGTCTCCACATCACTACCCCCCTTTTAATTTCTTTTTAAAGTCAGAAAGTAAGTAGGAAGTCGTATAAGTCATCGTCGGTGTTGGTAGCGGCCTCACCGTCGATGCCAGGCTCGGAGCTGCTGGGGGTGGCGCCGGCGCGGGCTCCGCGCTGACGGACTGGAGGGTGATTCCACGCCAACTGAGTCAGTCACAAAACGGCATGGTCTCGGATCGGGACGAAACTTACGCAAATCGTAGGTCTAGTAGTGGGATGACTAAATCCAAAAGCGTTTGGCCGAAAAATATCTAGAAGCCGAGATATTGAGAGGTTAAATATGGTGCCGGGACAGCGACACGGAGACAGTTTTTCGCTCGCAGTTTCGGTTATATCCATCGGATCGAGAAACCAAGCATACCGTTGGAAAGAGGAGAAAATTTCACAAAAAGTACTTCCTTTACTTTCTTTTAAAAAGTAAAAATAGTGTTTGATACGAAATAACCTTACCTTTGATTTATCGTAGAAAGTTAGTTGCACCACCAAATTTGCTGGGAAACGTCTTAAAAAATTCCCCGTGAAACAAAGATAAGAAATAGATCAACCACAAAAAGTACTATTTCTCGTTCCCGAGATATCTGCATTTAACTATCTTGAAGTAGCGTTGCGAGTTCAAGCACGCGCGGCGGACGAGGTATGAGAAATCCTGCGGCACACTGGGTTGTTTACAACCGTTGCATTTGTGATTTTGACCGCATCCACAGCTATGTCCGCCTCACACACTCTTCCTTGCACGTTTCGTACGCCACTTTGTCAGTATTGTGGCTCAAAATGTACGTTTTGCTCTAAGTCGGGTCATTTAGCGACGTACCTACTGATGCGCGCGCCGCAGGATTTCTCATACCTCGTCCGCCGCGCGAGCTTGAACTCGCAACGCTACTTCAAGATAGTTAAATGCAGATATCTCGGGAACGAGAAATAGTACTTTTTGTGGTTGATCTTTTTCTTATCTTTGTTTCACGGGGAATTTTTTAAGACGTTTCCCAGCAAATTTGGTGGTGCAACTAACTTTCTACGATAAATCAAAGGTAAGGTTATTTCGTATCAAACACTATTTTTACTTTTTAAAAGAAAGTAAAGGAAGTACGTTTTGTGAAATTTTCTCCTCTTTCCAACGGTATGCTTGGTTTCTCGATCCGATGGATATAACCGAAACTGCGAGCGAAAAACTGTCTCCGTGTCGCTGTCCCGGCACCATATTTAACCTCTCAATATCTCGGCTTCTAGATATTTTTCGGCCAAACGCTTTTGGATTTAGTCATCCCACTACTAGACCTACGATTTGCGTAAGTTTCGTCCCGATCCGAGACCATGCCGTTTTGTGACTGACTCAGTTGGCGTGGAATCACCCTGGAGGTGGCTGGAGTCGGCGTCATCCTCTGGCTCCTCGACGATGGGGACTGGAAGCTCTGAAGTCTGGTCTGGCTGCGGCGCCGGGAGTGGGAGTGCTGGGTACGGCGTGGGGCGGCCGTTGGCTTGGCCTTCCACTGTAAAAAATTCCGTACTTTTGTACGGAAATGGTACAGAAAAATATAGTACGGAGGTACGGAGAAAATTACGGAACGTTCCGTACTTGCTCCATTTGAACCCATGTAAATGGGTACGGAAAAAAAGTACGGAACGTTCCGTAGTTGGCAAGTACGGACGGTCCAGGCAAATTTATTGACCAGACATGTTCCGTACTTTTTCCGTACTTTTTTCTCAGAGTGTCTCTGCGGAGCAGCTTCCGTTGTCGGCGCGACATCGTCTCTGCTGCGGTCTCTCCCGTCGCCGTGATGGCCCTCACGTTGGTGGCTCGGTGCGGACGCGGTGTGTGGGTGGGGTTTGCTGCTTGAAGTGCGATGCCCATTTGCATGCTGACCAGTAGGGCTTGCAGCCGGGCGACCTCGGCCTTGTCCGCTGTTCCCGCGGAGACTTGGGCTGCTTTGTAGTCACTGAAGTCTTTGGTCGCTCGCGCAGGGCTTCGGTTTGCGCAGCGTGCGCCTCGGTCCGGGCTTGCTGTGCTTCTCTTGTCAGGGCTTCGGTCGTCGCGGCGAGGTCCCGCCGAAGCCTGGCGGCGATCCGCTGGATCCTTGTGATGTCGAGCACGCGTGTTGCCTGTACCATGTTTGTTACCTCCAGGTCGAGGCGACGGATGGCTGCGGCGATTGATGTGTTGGCCTGTACCGCTGCCAGGCCCTCGAGGCTGACGTGCGTGGCCAGTGCTGTGCCGGTGTTGTCCGAGTCGCGGACCTCGACGATGTCGTGGCTGGCGTCCATGGCGAAGATGAGGCGGAGAAGCGTCGAGCTTGGCGAATGGGTTGAGACTGTGCTGCTGCTGGCTGAGGGCGGCCTATATCACTATGGCAAAAAGCTACGGAAAATTCTGTAAACAGCTTGTGGTAATTCTCCGCAGCCCCCTTGTCGGTATTCTCCGTAGGCTCCTACAGTATTTTCCATAGGACCGCACAGTATTCTCCGTAGGACCTCACAGTGATCTCCGTAGGACTATGCAGTCTTCCAGGTCCTACGGAGAAGACTGTGCGGTCCTACGGAGAATACTGTACGGCCCTAAGGAGAATACTGTAAGAGCCTACGGAGAATATTGATAAGAGGGCTACGGAGAATCCTGGCAAAAAAATTAACAGAATTTTCCGAACCTTTTTGCCACAGTGATGTAGGGCCGGCTGCTGGACCCCTTTCTCCAGCCGTCGTGATAACGCGGTGGTGTTTGTGAGGGTTTTTTCGCTGTGCGTCTGAGGACTAAACTTGGCAATTGTTTTAGAATATGTGCACTGTAAAGAGAGTGTATATAAATTTCTTGTTTTAAATTTTACTTTAATTATATGATTTAAACATAGACTCATGTGTAGATTCCTAATTTCGTTCCCTAAGGAAGATCAAAATTATGACAAGGCTGTGTTCGTTGTAACCTTAAGACAAATTGTTATTATTTTATGGTTACTATAACTATAAGATTATATATAGACTTATATTTTCCAAATAAAAATCAAGATCATGACAAGGCTATGATCGTATTAACCTAAAAAAAATTACAATGTAAAGTTTCAACTTAACGATAAAATCATGGCGATATTTTATTTTTGTTTACATTTCCTTAAAGTAATACAATACATTTTTATTATATTCGGCTTAACACTATGGCTATACATAATGTTGATTGAAAGTATGTTAATCAAAAAGAAAAGGAATGCCCAAGAAAAGGAAGAAAAAGTCTTATTATTCATAAACACGACTAACTATATAAAGACCCCCGATGCTGTATCCCAATGCACAGACCAGCGCGTACAAGCTAAATTGCCCCCTCATAAAACCGGCGGCGCGCTCCGGCGGGGCTGTCGAGGACGGTCGGGTGTTTCCGTCGTCCCTTCGGGCCTCGAGGACCCGCCGAAGGCTCGCCAGCTACGCGCCGCCACGCCGGGGGAGGAGCGTCCCCGTCGAGCACGGAGCCGAACGAGACCGAGCCTAGCCGAAGACGACCCGACCGTCCCCGACAGCCACTACCTGCGGCGTGACCCAGATTACGGATTTTTACGATCATCGGGGGTCTAGTATAGTTAGTCGTGTATTCATAATACGATGGCACCTTTTGGACATGCTGGGCAGCAAGTGCGGCCATGTAGCCCACTGAATAATACTGGTGGTTCCCGAATCTGCGTTTCAGTGTCAGAAACGGGCACCTCCCAATTGGCATATCAGCAGCCACTGGCGATGAGCATTGGGTCTCCGAAATCCACTCACAGTTTTCGTATCTCCGTCGGTCTTCTGTAGGCTAGAGTCTCGTCCGGCTCCGTCGGGCTCAGCAGCGTCTCGTGAGAAAAAAGGCCGCCATATTGCCTAGTTTCGTCTGTTCCTGCAACAACGAAGATTCTGCGTTGACACTGTGCTTTCTCGTCTCGCTTAAACTATAACACCTATTGTTGCCATGGGAAATGAGTTCAAAATGTTTAGGATCGCTTTATAAGCTCATTATAAGAAGTGTTACGGACACAATTCAAGCATGTTGCATTACGAGACATTCCATGCCGGTTCGGCCAGGGCCTGAAGGTGACCATTGACGATTTCCGTGCCGCTTTGGCATTTTTTTGTACTCGTCGAGATAGGGCGATTGCCAAATTTTTAGGTCCCTAAGTCCATTTTTGCGCCCAGGGTGGCAATTTTTAGATTTCTCTGAACATTCTTTAGTGGTTTTGTTGAAATTGCGCTTCGAAGTCCCTTTCTTGGCTCTCCACGGCACAATTTCAACGCTAGCTCAATGATTTTGTGCTTAAAAGATGCGTATTGAATAGAGGAAGAGACTCCAGTGGTCAAATTCTACTTTTGAAGTCATCTTCGTGGTGATCCAAGTGATTTTGCAAATTAAAAACATGTAAAAATGAGGTAATTTTTTGCTAACTTTGGCGAGGGATCTTTCGATGACCGACATCGAAATTTGAACTTTTTCTAGCGGATTCTTGAAGGTCTCGAGGAGATCTTTCGAGTTCCGGTGCCAGAAAGTATGGGACCGGCCCTAGTTTAGCCGCTACACCGCTCCAAAGTTTCGAAAAATCCCAAATTTGCACTAAATGGTGCAAGGAGTGGGCTTTCGCTTGCAGGCCCACGGCAATTGCCATGCGAGTCCCAGGCCATCTCGGCCCGACTAAGGGCGTCTTTCACCAGCGCCTCTACCGGCCGGGTAGCGTACCTCGGCGAGCTTGCCCGGCCGGTAGGCACAATTCGTCTTTCACCACGAGTTACCAGCTGGGCAGTGAAGCTACCAAGGTGGTAACTTTACTGGGTCGAGATTCGGGCTAGTAAACGCTTACCGCAGAGGTAAACAGAGAAAATCGCCAAGATGAACGCCATAATAGAGGCTGCTCTCAACATCGTATTTGAAAGCGACGACGAGGAGGAAAATCTTGAGCGAGTTCCACGTCCAAGGTTCATTCGTGATAGATTGGAACATTTTACTGACATGGATGACAAAGATTTTATTCGAAGGTTTAGATTTACGAAAAGAGGCTGTCTTCATGTGTTGGAACTGATTGAAGAGAGGTTAGAATATCCAAGTGACAAGTTAGTATTTTGTTTTCATTTTTGTTCAATGGCAGAGTCATCTTAAGCGCTTTTCTACAAAATTCAATATTTCTTTTATTCATAGGAACTATGCAGTTTCCCCAATAAACCAGCTGCTCTTGTGCATGAGATATTACGCAACTGGCTACACTCAAATCTGTGCATCGGATTTTAGTGGTTGTGCCTACCGGCCGGGTAAGCTCGCCGAGGTACGCTACCCGGCCGGTAGAGGCGCTGGTGAAAGACGCCCTGAGCGAGGCAACAGCCCACAGAATTATCCACAGAGTCACAAGAGCTATAGCGTCTCTTTACAGACAATTTGTTTATCTTCCTCGAACAGAACAGGAAAGTCTTGAAACGCAAGCCGGCTTTTATAGCATCGCCCGTTTCCCTCGAGTCATTGGAGCTATGGACTGCACACACGTCAAGATTCGCTCTCCTGGTGGTCAATATGCAGAATACTACAGGAACAGAAAATCATACTTTTCCCTGAATGTGCAGGCAATTTGTAATTCCAAGTTGGAATTTTCAGATGTTGTTGCCCGTTGGCCAGGCAGCGTCTTCGACCAAACTATCTTTGACAGTTGCCGGCAAAGGGCTAAATTTGAGGCAAATGATTACAGAAATAAGGGAGGCCGGGGCAGTGTGTAACAGAATTTGGAATTTCGCTCTGAGATCGCCATTTGTCAATATGTTCTGCCAAAATGAGGTTCAGTGGATACTTTGGACCTTTTGTCATGTAACTTGCAGATCTAGGGCATGCCACGTCCCGTCTGGAACGACCTAGACCCTAATCTTTTAAGCCTTGCACTTGTTACACACTGCCCCGACCTGGGGCAGAGTGCAACAACTAAAGGGGCAGTGTGTAACAAGTAAAGGTGGGGCAGTGTGAAACAAGAAAGGAATACAATCTGAAGGATATTTTAACGTCCGTTTATGTTAAAAGCGATGTCACAACTTAAGCTACGATTGCATCGAAGCAAAAGTATGCCGGTGAATGGTTTCCTTTCTTGTTTCACACTGTCCCTCCTTTACTTGTTACACACTGCCCCTAGGTACAGTGCCATAGCCTTCCGTCTGTCAGGCCAACACCCTTGAGGTTAGGATGTTGCCCCAGGGCATTTTAAGTCCATGGAAGAGTACTCTTTGATGAAAAATCGTTAGATCGGGAATGATTTATCACCGAACAGCCTCAACCCACGAAGTTCAAAGGTCAAAAATGGGATTCTACCCGATTGTCGCGTGCGCCGAGTTTCGAGCTCCTCCAGACGCCATGACAGGCATCAAATCACCGCGGACTTGATTGCAAAATCATTAAGTCATTGACGGGAAAAGAAAATACACATTCACATAGGTGTTCGGGCGCGCCTTATTTGAATTATACTACTTTGTTACACACTGCCCCTGTTACACACTGCCCCGGTCTCCCTTACCTTTCTCCTGGGTGATGGAGCATACGCCTGTCGAACATATTTAATGCCTCCCATGGACAATCCTGTGGAACCCGAAGAAATTCTATATAACGAGTCCCAAATCAGGACCAGAAACCCAGTTGAACGCATTTTTGGGGTTTGGAAAAGAAGGTTCCCTGTCCTTGCATTGGGTATAAATGTATCCCTGGAAAATTGCATGCCGATCATTATTGCCACTGCAGTACTGTTTAACATATTGAGAAGAGCTAATGACCCCCAACCAGGTGATGACCCAGCGCTCCGTTTGCCTGCCCCATGGGAAGCTTTGATAGAACGGGGCCAAATTATGAGACCTTATGTCGAGCATAATCGTAATGGCCGGAGATTGACTGATTTACCAAGAAGACAACTCATCAATGATTACTTCAAAACTTTGGTTGAACTTCATCCCTAGCAATATTTTGTTCTGTATAATTGAGAAATTCTAGATGTGGGATGAATAAAAAAATTTGTAATGGAATTTGAATCTTATTATTTATTATTAATACAACAACATACTTTGTACTTTGTTTTGGGGCACTTTGTACTGTGTCGGTTAACAAATAATAAAAACTAGAAACAAAGAATTGTTGCTTATATCACTCACTCACTATCCTAATAATAAAAATCAAAAAGAAGCGTTTGTAACTACATTCACAGACATTGCAATAGACATACATGGCACATAAGCGAGTTATAATATTACATAACTAGAATAACATTAAAATCACAAGGCTATCAGACTGAATTACAATATAAAATAATAATACACATTGGTAAGAGCACATTATTTGGTGTTGAAAAAAAAAGTTCTCAAAAGAGGAACATATAACTTAAATAAACTGAATTCTTGAATACCGACTGTGAACAAATCAATTTTAAAGGTGCTACCAAAATGAGCGAGTCAGACTCCTGATCTAAATTTTCTGCACTTGTCGGGTACAGCTAATTTGCTTCCTTGCAGATGTGCCGTTCAAAATAAATGAACAAAGAATAATGGTTTCCTCTGTACTTTCAGCAGTGAGCCTTCAGTGAATAACAAAGCTGAGTCAACTCTGTAACGTTTATGAAGCACAGGGAAACAAATTAAAAGTAGTATAAGCTGTGTGGCATAAAATACTTTTTCTTTGTTTCTCCTAGTGCTCAATAAACGTTACAGAGTTGACTCAGCTTTTTATTCACTGATAAGGATCACCTAAAACTACACAGGAAAGTTATATACTCACTTCAAACAGGCCTTCTGCTATGAAAAAAATTCATTGCAAAAATGATATGAGTGGTGTCTAACTTGCTCATTGTGGTAAAAAAAATATTAGAAAGAATGAAAGTAGAGGTGTTGTCTGGAGGATTCTGTAAAAAAAACAATAAAGTACAAAAAAAAATGGCACAAAAATATAAAAACCCGTACAATACATCTTTTTCTGGAGGCACAAACCTTCAGCAACAGAAAATAAAAGCCACTTATGTTAGTAACAACGTTGGCACAGGTACTTTTATCACAGCGAACAGTTCCAAAAGTTTTTGCAACTGTGGCATGTGTACTCTACCTTTGCTTGCACACCCTTGCAGAGACAGCCTAATAGCTTTGCAGATTTCTATAGCCAACATTAAAAGTACTCTTTGCAAATTATTTTTCAAATTTGTTTTGTTATGATAAAATTTTCAAGTTACTCTTAAAGTGCATAAAACTAAGTCAAATATATAATAGATAACGAATTTAACTAAGGAAAAATGAATGGCTTAAAAGCAGCCAATAATAATTAAAAATAGGAACATTAACTAGGCAATGCCAGTGCTGGTTCGTGCAATGTAAATGTAGGTACAAAACGCCACAGAATTAAAAACTAAATTACTTATCTAGCCCCAGCTCCTTCTTCATTTTCAAAACTTGCAGCTCCACCAACACTGCCTCACTCTCTTTCCTCCTTTTTTCTATTTGGAAAAGCTCCTCATCCCTCTTCTTCTGCTCCTCCATGTTGGCCTTAGTTGCAAGAGCCAGATCCAGCCTGGCCGCCACCAGTTTGGCCTGGTTCTCATCAGGCGGAGGAGCAGTGGAGAGCGATGGCCTTCTTCTCTTCATTATTTTGGCATACTCCAGTTCCTCAGCCACCGTCCGCTTTCGAGCAGACTCTGCAGAGGTGGTTGGGGTGCTGGAGTTCGACATTTGGGTGCCCGATGTGCTCGGCGTGCTTCCATCAACCATCTTCAGAGCCTGAGGCTTCTTGGAGTACAGGTGACGTGGCACAACATCGGACCAATTTTGTTGTGGAACAACAATGCCCGAGCAGTCCAGGAGTTCAATGGTAGCCTGCAACAAAAATTAACAATAACAAAAGAAAATTAAAGTACATTAATTTATATTTATACACATATTTATGTATCTGTGATAATCTATAAAATTATGGATAGCATTACAGCACAATACTCACAGTTTCCGCTGTTTGCAGAGTATCGGATGTGCCCACCACAAACAAATCTCCAATTGTATTTAACTGCAAATAAATTTTCAATAAATTTTGTGCATGGTACATGCTAGTTTGCATCTGTCTACAGCATATAGTGCTTTAAAAAAGAGGGTAGTTGACAGACTACTTACAGCACTGGAAGAATCAGTCTCTGGTATTTCAGCATCTCCTCCATATTGCTCGTTGAGGCCCACTCCGGATGGCCCAATCACCTCCAGCACTTTATCGTCCAGCTTAGTTGGGTCGCCACTTTTGTTCCTTTCACCTCCACCTGTAATGAACATTGTAATAATGGCAATGAATGGAAGAAAATGAAAGAGATAACCTCAACATTTGAGAACCTCTAACAGCAACTACTAACCTGTGCACACCGTCTCCCTTTTCTGAAAAGCCTGTCTTTTTCTGGCCTTTTTCTTCAATTCGCCCCACAGGTTTCTTAAATTCTCCTCAGTTCTATGGAAAATTGAGGATAAGTTGTTGAAGTCCACCTGGAGGCGGCTCCAGGCCGCCGCCTTTTCGCCCCGCGTCAGGGCGTCGGTCTTTTTGTTTTCAATGACAGATTTATATTTTGGGAGGAGAACCTCCACAAACAGCTCTATCTCCGACTCGGTGAAATTCGGGGACCTCTTCTTTTTAGTTTCCGCTGACATGGTGAACTTGGTCAAAGACAATGTAGGTGGACTCGCTGTTGTTGATGTTTTGCGCGGGCTCGACTTGTTTGGACTTGCTTTGTTTATTTGGGTCAAACACGGCCTCCTACGTTTCCTGCTTTCCTACGCACGGCATGCTGGATTCTCCCGAGAATGGCAACGTCGCACGGTTAGCTACCGGCCGGACCCCTACCCTGCGGATAGGCGTGGTGAAACGCACGAAGACCTACCGCCAGGATAGGGCCGGCTGGTAACTTACCGACTGGGCAGCTACCCGACAGATAGCGCTGGTGTGGTGAAAGACGCCCTAAAACTGACCCCTGCAATAACTTCTACTTGATCCCAAGCCCCAGGGTCACTCACCGGCTCGGGGGTAAAGGGGGGGGGAGAAAGAATACGTGAATTTTCACAAAATTATCCCCCAAGCTTATATGTCGTCCTAGCCCCGATCAGTGGTGATTATGGACCTCAGGCCCGTGTGTTTGAAAATACTCGATTCCGCCTCCCGCAACTCCCCCCTGGGGAGAAGCGGGTGCTCTACAGGCGTTCGCTCACTTTTGTCCGCGGGGAGCGCCTGCGATTAAGTAAGCGGCAGCCCCTGCAGCACGCGGCGTTTGGTGGCCTACCTTACGGCGCTTCGGCCCTGGACCACGGGCCCTTGTACACTTTCTTCGGCCCCCTCTGCTGGAAGCGTCGTCTCAAAAATAACCGCAGTAAAATGGGTTTGGGAAATTTTTCAAAAAAAAAGAAAGTTCACCGAAAATGTTCCATTGTATTTAGGTCTTTGCAAATTGTTTACCGGGGTTTTTAATGACTTTTTCCTTAGCTTGGCTATTTTTTTTGATCCTTGAAATTCCGCCCTTGCCAATTGAATACTCTGATGAGGCTTCCTTTGATACGGGGACTGTTCCCAGGACGTTTGGACTGGGTGGCACATGGCCGCTTCAGTCTTCATTCCAGGTAAACTTTGTTGCTGAGAGAGGTGGGTAGAGCAGCATCAGGTCAGCTTCTTGCTCTTGCATGTCAATGTCTGTGATGAGATCCACATAGGTTTTTTCTCGCTACTATTACGGCCTCAAAATTATTAATTTTGAAAGTCAGTGGCCTACTGGTTTCGCAGATCTCATGGATGCGGGAAAAAACGTGTGTCAGAGCTTACGCTTTTGCAGCCCCTGTCGTTTCTAAATCATTTTTCCTCCCTATCTGATATGTTTAAAATGACAGTCATTTTCTTTTCAAACTCTGTATCTTTTTTCTTCTTTAGAAACGACAGGTGGCTGCAAAAGCGTAAGCTCTGACACACGCTTTTTCCGCATCCATGAGATCTGCGAAACCCGCAGGCCACTGACTTTTGAAATTAAAAATTTTGAGGCCGTAATAGTAGCGAGAAAAAACCTATGTGGATCTCATCACAGACATTGACATGCAAGAGCAAGAAGCTGACCGATGCTGCTCTACCCCCCTCTCTCAGCAACAAAGTTTACCTGGAATGAAAACTGAAGCGGCCATGTGCCACCCAGTCCAAAAGTCCTGGGGAAAAGTCCCAGTATCAAAGGAAGCCTCATCAGAGTATTCAATTGGCAAGGGCGGAATTTCAAGGATCAAAAACATAGCCAAGCTAAGGAAGAAGTCATTAAAACCACGGTAAACAAATTTTCAAAGACCTAAATACAATGAGCAACATTTTCGGTGAACTTGCTTTTTCTTTGAAAATTCCAATCCCATTTTTCTGCGGTTATGTTTTGAGACGACGCTTCCAGCAGAGGGGGCCGAAGAAAGTGTACAAGGGCCTGTGGTCCAGGGCCGAAGCGCCTGTAAGGTAGGCCACCAACTGCACGCGTGCTGCAGGGGCTGCCTGCTCTACTTAATCGCAGGCGCTCCCCGCGGACAAATGTGAGCGAACGCCTGTAGAGCACCCGCTTCTCCGAGGGGGGAGTTGCGGGAGGCGGAATCGAGTATTGTCAAACACACTGGGCCTGAGGTCCATAATCACCACTGATGCGGGGCTAGGACGACATATAAGCTTGGGGCATAATTTTGTGAAAATTCACTGTATTCTTTCCTCCCCTCCCCTTTACCCCCGAGCCGGTGAGTGACCCTGGGGCTTGGGATCAAGTAGAAGTTATTGCAGGGGTCAGTTTTGTCGGGCCGAGATGGCCTGGGACTCGCATGGCAATTGCCGTGGGCCTGCAAGCGAAAGCCCACTCCTTGCACCATTTAGTGCAAATTTGGGATTTTTCGAAACTTTGGAGCGGTGTAGCGGCTAAACTAGGGCCGGTCCCATACTTTCTGGCACCGGAACTCGAAAGATCTCCTCGAGACCTTCAAGAATCCGCTAGAAAAAGTTCAAATTTCGATGTCGGTCATCGAAAGATCCCTCGCCAAAGTTAGCAAAAATTACCTCATTTTTACATGTTTTTAATTTGCAAAATCACTTGGATCACCACGAAGATGACTTCAAAAGTAGAATTTGACCACTGGAGTCTCTTCCTCTATTCAATACGCATCTTTTAAGCACAAAATCATTGAGCTAGCGTTGAAATTGTGCCGTGGAGAGCCAAGAAAGGGACTTCGAAGCGCAATTTCAACAAAACCACTAAAGAATGTTCAGAGAAATCTAAAAATTGCCACCCTGGGCGCAAAAATGGACTTAGGGACCTAAAAATTTGGCAATCGCCCTATCTCGACGAGTACAAAAAAATGCCAAAGCGGCGCGGAAATCGTCAATGGTCACCTTCAGGCCCTGGCCGAACCGGCATGGAATGTCTCTTACGGGATCTGGTGCATGTTGGCGTCTATTCAGTCATACTCGCAGACCAACTCCGTCGTGTAGGTGTTGGCTTCTTCTCAATCGGCCAGCGTGGTTCTTTCTCGGACAGGAGGAGGGAAAGTAACGTGGTGTTCGTTTGGTTCAGTCTCTGTATTACCTTCTTTATAGAGGGGTGTGGTGTCGGTGTTTGTTTCGTGTTTACTGTCGCCAGTGCGGCGCTCTCCACGAGCTCATTATCTCCTTTCGCCGGTCCGCGAGTGTCCGTCCGGGACAAACCGTTTCGGCTGCAGTTAAGCAGCAACGTCCGGGACTTGCCGTTTCGGATTTTACACTACACTGACAGTCACAGGGGAGCGAGAGCAGCAGGCCATGGCTGTACTTATTTTTCTGATAGGCTATGGGTTAATCCACTGAGCGAACTTAGAGTCAAGCGTGAACGAATGGCACAGGGAGAATAACAACACAACACTTTGGATAAAATACACTCTCTATATTCTTAAGATCTTTTCGGGTCTCCGAAATCCACTCACAGTTTTTGTATCTCCGTCGGTCTTCTGTAGGGTAGGGTAGAGTCTCGTCCGGCTCCGTCGGGCTCAGCAGCGTCTCGTGTCGTGCGGCGTGGCGTCTGGTTCCGTCCTCGGCTCCAACTGCCCTTCCGCTAGTCCGTCCGTTCGTTATATCTCAGTCGGTTAGGGTAAACTAGAGTAGGTGGGGGTGTGGCCTTTGTCCAGTAGTTTTCCGGTCGGAAGTCGTGTCGTAGGGGTGTGACCCTTGTCCAGTCCAGTAGTCCAGTATCTTTCCAAAGTATGTGGGACGCTCCCCTTCACCCGCGTCTCCACATCACTCCCCCCCCCCTTTTATTTTTTTTTTTAAGTCAGAAAGTAAGTAGGAAGTCGTATAAGTCGTCGTCGGTGTTAGTAGCGGCCTCACCGTCGATGTCTGTCTCGGAGTTGCTGGGGGTGACACCGGCGGGCTCCGTGCTGATGGACTGGAGTTGGCCGGCGTCGGCGTCATCCTCTGGCTCCTCGACGATGGGTACTGGAGGCTCTGAAGTCTGGTCTGGCTGCGGCGCCGGGAGTGGGAGTGCTGGGTACGGCGTGGGGCGGCCGTTGGCTTGGCCTTCCCTGCCGAGCAGCTTCCGTTGGCGGCGGGACATCGTCTCTGCTGCGGTCTCTCCCGTCGCCGTGATGGCCCTCACGTTGGTGGCTCGGCGCGGACGCGGTGTGTGGGTGGGGTTTGCTGCTTGAAGTGCGATGCCCATTTGCATGCTGACCAGTAGGGTTTGCAGCCGGGCGACCTCGTCCTTGTCCGCTGTTCCCGCGGAGACTTGGGCTGCTTTGTAGTCACTGAAGTCTTTGGCGGCTCGCAGGGCGTCGGTTTGCGCAGCGTGCGCCTCGGTTGCCGTCCCGGTCTCCAACTGCCCTTCCGCTAGTCCGTCCGTCGCGTTATATCTCAGTCGGTTAGGGTGAACTGGAGTAAGTGGGGGTGTGGCCTTTGTCCAGTAGTTTTCCGGTCGGAAGTTGCGTCTTAGGGGTGTGGTAGGGGTGTGACCCTTGTCCAGTCCAGTATCTTTCCAAAGTATGTGTGGAGTAGATATTTGAGCCTGTGTTGGTCTATTGAGACATGCTCGCAGACCTAACTCCGTCTTATGGGTGTTCGTGTGATCTCGGTCAGCGTGGTTCTGTCTCGGACAGGGTGGCCAGTGAAGAGTCGTGAGGTGGGCTTAGTGTGTTTTACCTTCTTGCAATGGGAGGGAACCGTACACGACTGACTTGACGGACAGCGGTCAGCTTCTTTTATACCCGCGCCGCTGATGGCCAAGGGGTTGTGGAAGGGGTGAAACGGTGGCCGTGAGAGAGAGAGAGAGAGAGAGCGAGGGGGGGAGGGAGAGAGTACCGTGAAACGGGGTAATTTCGGACACTCGGTGTAATTTCGGACAACTCTGCCCGGAAGCATTGTGATGATGCTCCCATCTAACGGCCAACTTGGAGGCTTGTCCCGTTGCGCGCATCGCATCGGCCACACTTAAAACCATCTGATCAATCACCCGGAGGCCAAATCAGGGGCAAACTCCAGGAGAAATAGTGGTTTTTGTATTTAACCATTTTTACCTAAATTCGCTTTATGCATAAAAACTTTGACTGGCAAGCCGAAAGTTCATGGCCGGTTCATGAGGGGATTTTTTGTCGATTCAATCATGTTAAGAGCATACTGTGTCAAATTTTCAATCACCTGGGTCAAATAGTATGGTTTTATGGGCTCAAAACTAAAAAATGCTACTTTACGGGGAAATTTCGGACATACAAACGTCACGCCAGGGAGAGGGGGTATGTCCTAAACACTTCCAATTTCGCGGGGTTTGAGTGGTGGAAGCTCAAGAGCTCTTCTGAAAGTTGAAGATAATCCAATAACAACGAGAATCCTCAATTGTTACAGCGGTTTCTTTGTAAACTTCGAATTTCATGAAAATGGGGCAAAGCTACATCTTTTATACTTATTTTTTTATGTGCGTTTCTACCTTAGTGTCAAAGACTGTTTTGTGATTAATTTTCTTTCATGTGACATGAGAGGTGGACTTGGCGAATGGCTGCATAGCTCGCCGGTTTACTATGCAACGCTTTCCACTGAGCCCCTGTATCTTCCTAACCGTACATACGACACGACTACTTGTCTTTTATATGCATGTATGTGACGTATGTAATCTTGTAGAGGCAGATTTAAGATTCCTTTCGCGTAATAAAGTATGGCCCGAGCTGCCTGTGAAAGCTAATCGGTCAAAAACTAACAAATAGAAGCGTTCTAAATGGCTCTACTAGTTCCACCCACTATTTCTCAAATCGAAGCAAAACATGACTTAAAATTATGTATGAATGACCACCCCTACCTTACTTTTACATCTAAACCCTTACGAATTTCTCACATAATCATATTAGCACTTTAGAAAGAGACAGGATCGATTTTGGGACCCAAAAACAAACGAAAGTCGTTTTTCCTAGGGGTCCGAAATTACCCAAAACACGGGGTAATTTCGGACACTGCTTCGGACCCTCCACTGTAAAAAGGTGAGGTGCAAAATTTGAAATAAGCGCCAAAACGAAGCTAAAAGGGGCGTAGATGATAAATTTTAACCCTCAAGTCCATGACAGCACCACAACTTTCACAATTTCAAAAAAAACTCTCAAATGTGTCCGAAGTTACCCCGTTTCACGGTAAGAGAAAGTCGGTGCTCGCTTGGTGAAGGTCGGCAGAGAGTGAGAGTGTGAGTGAGAGAGAAAGATGCTCGGAGGGAGAGAGATAGATGTTTGGGGAGACTAAGATTCGTTACTACAGATTCCTCCCAGCCCTAATTATTTTTATGTCCTCATAAAAGAAATTCAAACCAATCACCGAAATTTAAAATATAGTTGATTAAGAAAATAAATGAGAGCTTAAAATTTAAAATTGTGCTAAAAAAAATAAATTATAAAAGTACAGAAAAAGGGATGAAGTAAGGGTATTAGTTTGAAGTGCTGCTGGTTGAGGAGGAGGAGGTACTGCTGTCAGTACTGCACTCGCGCCTGCTGATGTACTTGCGGCGTCTTCGTCGTGCTGCTGGTGATCGTGAACGACGCTCCGTTGCCACTGGTGACCGGGAGCGGTCACGGGGTGCTGCATGTTCAGGAGGCGGTGATGGTTGTCTGGACGGCGGCGGGGGCGGGGTGGCGACCCGCGGTGTGGGGGTTGCCGGTCTGGATGTAGAGGGAGACCTGCCGCGGGTAGCAGGTGCAGCGTCTGGGCGTGTTGAGTCCTTCGTGCCGGGCTTCTGTGGTGTCCGAGTCTCAGACACTGATGAATGGCGGCGCCGTGTGGGTGGGGCTGTCAGTTCTGGCTGGCTCTCTAAAACCGAGGGGGTAAACACTTGCGTAATACCCTGTACACAAAAGTCGGGTATTACGCCGTAATACGCGTAATAGTAATACATTTTGGGACCAAAAGTATCAAAAAATGTCATTTTTCCATGAAATCGAGGCGTAATACATGCGTAATACAAGTGTAATACTCCGTAATAGGGAGTAGTCTGTACAAGGTTCAGCGGAGTGTTTACCCCCTCGTCTAAAACAGGTGCAAATGATACTGACATTCGGCGTTGTCTGGGTGTCGTCTTGGAGTCTGAGCGGGCAGCCAGGGTTGGTGAAGCTGGCCTCTCTGTTGTTGGTGGGGGTCTTGGACGTCTCTCGGGCGGCGGGGGCGACGATCGGTGGCTGGTTGTAGGTGTCGGCGTGTGTCCTGGTGGTGGCGGTGTGTGTGTTGCTTGTCGAGTAGATATTTGAGCCTGTGTTGGTCTATTGAGACATGCTCGCAGACCTAACTCCGTCTTATGGGTGTTCGTGTGATCTCGGTCAGCGTGGTTCTGTCTCGGACAGGGTGGCCAGTGAAGAGTCGTGAGGTGGGCTTAGTGTGTTTATTACCTTCTTGCAATGGGAGGGAACCGTACACGACTGACTTGACGGACAGCGGTCAGCTTCTTTTATACCCGCGCCGCTGATGGCCAAGGGGTTGTGGAAGGGGTGAAACGGTGGCCGTGAGAGAGAGAGAGAGAGAGAGAGAGAGAGAGAGAGAGAGAGCGCGAGGGGGGGAGGGAGAGAGTAAGAGAAAGTCGGGTGGTCGCTCGGTGAGGTGGCTGGTGCTCGCTTGGTGAAGGTCGGCAGAGAGTGAGAGTGTGAGTGAGAGAGAAAGATGCTCGGAGGGAGAGAGATAGATGTTTGGGGAGACTAAGATTCGTTACTACATATGTGGATAGTTAAGGAGAAAATAGTACATTTTACGTTTGCTCAAAAACCGCTATAAGCAAGAGAGAAAAAAGTCCATATAGGTCTGAGCGTGTGGGTGTTGTTTAGTGTTTACTTTCGCCAGCGCGGCGCGCTGCTCAAGCTCATTATCTCCTTTCGCCGGCCCGCGAGTGTCCGGTCCGGGACAAGCCGTTTCGGCTCGGTTCGGATTTTACACTGCGCTGACAGTCACAGGGCAGCGGTGTAGCCGCCCACGGTCTGCACGGCACTGGGTATCCTCCGAGTACTCGAGTCGAGTGTGAATGAAGGCATAGGGAGAATAACAACACAACACTCTGAATAGTTACACTCTCTATATTTTAAAACTTTGTCTCCGTGTGGGGTGCCCGCAGTGTTCGGTGTTTCAAGTCAAGAACGCAACGAAGTTGATCATAAGACTTATATATATTTCGCAAACTCTTACAAGGTTACACTAGCAGATCACAACCACACTCTCTGACGCTCTGTCTCGACTGTCCCCGAAGTGCCCGGAGCGCCACGCTCCAGCCCTTCGACTCTGGCTGATAACGCAGCGCTACCACGACACTGCCCGCAAACTCCCTTACGCTAACCATCGGTGCCAGCCCTAGTGAAGGGATCTTCGCTGCTCGCTGCCTCCAGCGCGAGGCAGCCCTGCGTTCAAAGTCTGTGCGTGACGCACACCCAGCCACGCGGAGAGCCGTCCGCGTGACCGAGCATAGGTCACTTTAGTGTCCCTTCACTAAAGCCAACACGGCCTGGAAGGCAGCCGAAAATGTTGCAAAACATCAAACAAGTCATGGCGCCGTCCCGACCAACCGATGCCTTATCTAACTTAACTTAAATTCAAGAAATCTGCGTTGACGGCGTTCATACCGCCAACACTCTACTGCTCTGCTCCATCGGCACTCTTCAACACAATCCAGCAGTGTCCCGGAGCACCGCGCTTCAGAGTGTGCTGAACAGAGTGTGCTGAGCACACTGTTGAGTTTGCTGAGTTCCAGCGTGTCGCCCGGTCTCGTGAATGTCTTTGTATTGGCCCGATGACCCCAGTACTTCCGGTCTGGGTTTTCATCGAAGTATAGTGGACGCGCGCGAGAGAGAGAGAGAGAGGCGGGGAAAGGACCTGCGCAGTAAAATCTCAACGAAGAATCGCTTCGTTTTAGGGAGCAAAATACTTAGTAATACGAAGCATGTCTCTTCATTACACGAAGCTATTCTCCAAGGCTATGAAACATGCTTCGAAGGCTTTTAGGATCTAAGAAGCACGAAGCATCCAAGTGAACCTTTCTTCTGCAGTCCGACGTCTATTCTCCTGGATTTCTTCTAAACATTCGTCCCAGCTGTTTTCTCTAGTATCCTATGTGGATGCAAAACTTTAAGCCCTAAGAAAAGCAACTGTGCATATTTTCTTACTATTAGTAGGGGACATCTATTGCATACGTTACGCCAAACATAGATTCTTTTGAACGTCATCCAGAGTGGAACAAACATTAACCATAAGCCAGGTACTAGTAGGCACGTTCCTGCTGGTTCCTAACTTTCTGATTACTTTTGTTCCTCACTCGGCGACGAGCGCAAGCGTCGATAGGGTACTTCCACGACTTTTGAAACGGAAGGAAGAAGAACACAAGTGCACAACTGCCGCCCCCTCGCCTGAGGAGGGGGTAAAGATGGCTGCCCCTTGGAACCCCTCCTCAGGCGAGGGGACGAAAATTGTGCACTTACGTCTGTTATTCCTTCAGTTTCAAGAGTTGTGGGAAAATACTCCAAAGGGGGGAGACTGGTTTTTTGTTGAGCGGAACGCTGCGGAATAGAGGGGCACGGGGGTTCGAGTCAGCGTAACGGTACGCTAAAAGCACAATTTGTGAGAACACGTTCCAAAGGTACAGGCAATAGACCATTCTAGTCGTCTTCGACTAAATAACAAGAAGAATCACAAAACCGGAAATAAAGTAGATCGGGAGTAGGGAGTAGATCGTCAGTAGTGCTGACAAATATATTTCTTTCCTTTGGCTTAAAGTATTTGGTAGACTTTGAAAGAGTGTCGAATCGAAAAACTTTTTAAATGATGTACTCGGACGGCTGAGTGAGGTTAAGTTGCCGGCGCCATTTCCGGTTTTGTGATTCTCCTTGTTTCTCAGTCGGCGACGATTAGAATAGTTCATTCACGAGGGTAATGGTGTTTACCTGAGAAATTTTGCGTAACGTTACGCCATGTGAGGTCTCGTGGTTACGCTGTGAGAGAGGGTGGGGGTTCTCACTTAGCCTAGCGTAACGCCGCGCCACATGTGGGTGGGAAGGGTTATGTCTCAAGGTGTCAAAAATTGCATACTGTAGAGATAAGTGATGCTATTCTGAATCGAGGACAAATGAATACGAACTACTTGGTTGAATTTCCTAAGGTAAGTGCGACTTTGAAAACGCTTCAAGAAATAGGAAAGGAACTGTGAAGTAGGCGTGCAGGAGAACTTGAGTCGGACGATGCGAAGATAAGTCGAAAAGCTCAAGTATGATAGTACTTTCTTTCAATGAAAAGACCTCATGACGAATCATTTGGTCTAAGAGACAGCTTGTCGACTAACTTTGGGGAAAAAAACGATCAAAGAGATCCACGAGTTCTATGATCTAGATTGGGGAAAGTCTTTTCGGAAGCGGAGAGGATTCTGACGCAAGTAAGATCATGACATCAGAGGCAATTTCAGCCCAGAGAATTTGATTTCTCCGGTTCAATTTCTCCAGTCTAAACGAGCCTAAGAACCAGGACTTTGTACTTATTAACACTGCGAGAAAAAAAGTTCTGAAAAAGTACGGAGCATGACTGGTCAAAAATTTGCCTAGACCGTCCGTACATGTCGTCCTACTATTCGGAACTTGCGTATACTATTTTTCCGTATCCGATTACATGAGTTCTTGTAGGACAAGTACGTACGGACGTTCCGTACTTTTTCCCGTACTTCCGTACCAGGCAACCCCTTTAGCATGCGAAAAGTTGGCAAGGTGTGACCCGAAATCCTCATTAGTTTGCCAATATTCACTTGTAAAATTAAAGCGTAGTATTACCCTCTGTTTTCAAGCGTAATCAGTTTACGCTTGAAATCAAGCGTAATAGGCTCTTCCTCAAAGATTCCGCCTACCTAAATGCGTGGGGGAATTTCCAGAGTTTGCTTCATTTCAAGCGTAACATCTTCAAGCGTAACTTTACACGCTCAGACCAATATGGACTTTTTTATCTTTTGCCTATAGCGTTTTTGGAGCAAACGTAAAATGTACTATTTTCTCCTTAACTAAGCACAATTTTGATTGTTTTAAGGATATAATTGTCAATAGATAATGTATAAATTGAAAAGTACATTGCAAATGACAAAAAGTCCGGTTTAATGGTCTAAAAACATTATACAATGAACAAAATTGTGCATAGCCATAGAGAAAATAGTACATATTACGTTTGCACAAAAACCTTAATGGTAAGAGATAAATAGTCAATACGAGTCTGAGAGTGTATGCTTGACTCTAGCAGAGTGTTACGCTTTAGCTTCATCAGTGTTTCGCAAGCTGGGGAGTATACGAGGGCCAGGCTTCCCAATGTTTGGCATTCTTTACGGCTTGCCAGTGTTGTGGCGAGCAACCTTGCCACCGAATTTGCAATGAACTCGGTTTTCTTCCCCTATCCGTTACTGTACGCTGTTTTCACCTTGTTTCAGCTTTGAGATGGAGTGCGTCATTTGTGTGGAGAAGCTTGATAGTGCGAGGAGGAGGCCGAAGTGTATCCCCTGTGGGCACACGGTGTGCCTTCAGTGCATCTCAACAAGAGGGAAGCAAGTGTGTCCACTGTGTCAGCAGGTAAGTCGTTACTTTTTCTGCTTTTTGTTCTTGAAACGAGAGACTACACCGACTTAAATTTTGGTCAAGGTCTTTTTTTTTCACCCGAATCTGGGTGACAATCAATTTGTCACCAAACTGGGGTGATGAAGGTTTCCTCACTCAACTTTGGGTGATACAACCTTGTTTACTTCTATCTACCTATTCATTACCAGATAACCCTTTATTGCCTTAATTGGTGTGAGAGAACGGTCTTTGTCCAATTTTGGGTGATAAAACGTAGCTGAGCCACCATGAACTGAACTAAGTTCTCTATTGGAGGTCTCCATACGTTACGTCCATACGTCTCCAAACGGTTGCTGTGTGAATGATTATTGCCATCACGTCAAAAACGGTTCCTGGTACCCAAGCGTTTTAGCCTTTTGTAAGTCTTTCCAGAAAGGTTTTTGGGAAAACCTGGAACCGTTTTTGCTGTGTGAACTGACCCGAGAGAAAATTATAGGCTGCAGATTGGCTGCAGGCTGGCTTCCTCCGGGTGCCTGAGAGCGCTCGGATGGATCTCGGACGGCTGCAGACATTGGCTGTATTCGGACATACGTCAGCCAAAATCCAGCCATCCACAGCCGCTGCAGCCTCTCTGGCTGCACCTGCCAGCCATTGAAGTGTCCCTTTGGAGCCGAGTCGGCCCTGCCCCCGCTGCTCTAGGCTGCACCCCGCAGCCTACGGGATGCTCCAGGCAGCCTTCCTTCGCGAGCCACGCTGCCCCCAGCAGCCACGAGGCTGCGAGGCACTGCTCTAAGCTGCACCCCGCAGCCTTCAGGATGCCCCAGTCAGCTTTCCTTCGCCCGGGCCACGCTGCCCCCGGAAGCCTAGAGGCTGTGAGGCGCTGCTGTAGGCTGCACCCCGCAGCCTTCAGGATGCTCCAGGCAGCCTTCTTTCGCCCGGGCCACGCTGCCCCTGGCAGCTATGAAGCTGCGGGTCACAGCCACATCTCGGCTGCAGCCTGCAGCTTCGTGGATGCCATCGGCAGCACTCATATCGCTACTAGGCTTCACTCCTTAGTACATGAAGGTCCCCATGACGACCTTTGAGGGGGCCTGTTACGCCCTTTGAAGTTCTATGGATCCCTTAGTAGATTTTCTAGGGTCCCAACACCGTTCCAGATCCAAATCTGCTAAGTAATTTCATCTAGGACTTTCCGTTCCCGAGATATCAAAGATAACAAAAAAGTGTCCCGATTTTTACGAAACTTGCATGGCTTATGTATGTTAACGTATTCAACTCAAATATCAGCATACCAAGCACCCATTCTATTTTTTTCTATTTTTTATAACCCTTTAATCAAGGAGTGCGCCTGATTACCGCCAGCATCCACCATGCTGCATCCGTAGCCTACAGCCATTGCAGCCTATATGGCTGTATAGTCCTGCCGTAGCCCGGTTGCATCCGGCAGCCAGCACGCTGCGACGCGCAGTGCGCAGCCTACAGCCATTGCAGCCCGCCTGGCTGCGAAGTCCAGCCGCGGCCTGGCTGCCGCCAGCAGCCAACACGCTGCGACGCGCAGCCTACAGCCGTGGCAGCCTACATAGCTGTAAAGTCCAGCCGCGGCCCGGCTGGCACCAACAGCCAACACGCTGCGACGCGCAGCCTACAGCCATGGCAGCCTACATAGCTGTAAAGTCCAGCCGCGGCCCGGCTGGCACCAACAGCCAACACGCTGCGACGCGCAGCCTACAGCCATTGCAGCCTACATGGCTGTAACGTCTACGCGGCAGGGCTGGTGCCAGCAGCCAACACGCTGCGACGCGCAGCCTACAGCCATTGCAGCCTACATGGCTGTAACGTCTAGCCACGGCAGGGCTGGCGCCAGCAGCCAACACGCTGCGACGCGCAGCCTACAGCCACTGCAGCTAAGTTGGCTGTGCGTGGCAGCGTTTATAGGCTGCTTCGGGCAGCCAAAAGGCTTCTGTGCGCAGCTTCTGAAGCGTTCCACAGCCAAAGCGCTCCGTGAAACAGCCAGACCAGCCATTGCAGCGTGCATGGCTGCAAGTCCAGGACATCGCTATGGCTGCGACATGGCTGCAAGGCAGCCACGGCAGCCATGCATACAGCCAAAAAACGGTCCATACAGCCATGCGTCAGCCAAGCGTCAGCCTATCTGCAGCCTTCTATTTTTACTCGGGGAAGTTGTCGAAAGTAAATTAATCTGTTTCTGTCTAGGAATTCGCCGAGCCGGTTGGCTCACTGCCCGACAACTTTTTTCTCCTCAAACTGATTGAGAAAGAGGATCGGTGCTCGGATCAGAGGTGAGAAAGGAAATCAAGGACCAGAATCCCCTGTAATTCATTTATTTATTTACTTAAACTTTCCGTAACGAACAGCCCGGAATGTTTCGGAGTTCCCTAATTCGAACCTGTTCCCTAACAAAACTGCATGCTTGAAAGTACAACCTGAAACTCAACTTGCAAACTAAAACAGAGTGTGCCTGTCATGTGCACTCTAAATAAGAGTGTGTCTGCAAGTAGATGATCAGATACACTCGACTAGTCCTATCTATCCAAGCATGTATGTGTACTCTTTTACAGTGCACTCTCAGACAGACCATTGACTTAAAGTACACGGTATTGACATTTTGTCGATAGTACCTCTGATTTCTTGTGCAACAGTAAAATGTACTTTTGACTTTTGTTCGGATTATCTGCCTTTTTGTTAGTACTTATTGACAAAAAAATAATTCGCACATAATTTTGTGCACTGAATTGTTCGTATCTAAGAAGAAAATACTAAGTATTATTGTTGTAGGCTTTAGTACCTGGTTACTGACGATAAAGTCAACAAGAGGCTGAGAGCGAGGCGAAATAACTGAATTTTGGTGTACAAATCTTATGAGTTCCAGTCAAATTTTGATGATTTTTTTCAGTCGAATTTCGATGATTTTTTCAGTCGAATTTCGATGAATTGCAGTCAAATTTCGATGAATTTCAGTGAATTTGACACATTTGATGAATTTCGGTGCACAAATTTGGCTGGAGTTATTTCCCCTTGGCTGAGAACGTGTTCGTTTGCCGCAGGTTGTGGTTGTGGTGCCGCGACTGCAGCAAGGCCGCCACCGACGACTGCGAGGACCGAGACCACTCGCTCTGCTCGCTGCGCAAGCTGCGCGCGGAGCAGAGCGCCACTGCGGCGGCGCGGCTGCGGGGGCTGCAGGAGGCCGCGACGGCCGTGCGGCACGCGGTGCGCGCGCTGCAGGACGTGAAGGGCGCGGCGGACGCCCTGCTGGACCAGTGGAGGCACCGGCTGCGGCGCGTGGAGGACGCCGAGGCGGAGCTGCGGGCCGCGGTGGACGCGGGTCGACTTGCCGTCCAACCAAGTATGTACGCTGTAAACCTCAATAAGTATTTCCACCCTTAAAACCTCACTCTTTAAACCTAACGATGTATTTTGAGCATACATATTACAAACTAATATACTTTGTTATACAAAGAAATAGTTCGTATATTAAGAAGTATTTTCTTTGTAAGCTTATATATGCTCAAAATACTTTTTTACACAAACTTATTTTCTTTGTAAGGCCCAAAATAGTTTGTAAGATTTTCTCAGTGCTTACAGAGCATACGTTCAAACTAATTTACTTTGTTATACGAAGAAATAGTTCGAGAATTACGAAAGTATTTTCTTTGCAAGCTTATGTATGCTCAAAATACTTTGTTCTAACAAACCGCTTTGCTTTGTAAGGCCTGAAATAGTTTGTAACGTTTTCTCAGTGTCGAGCACACTCAAGAATCTGAACATACTCTTGAAAGCCTACGAGGCATTCTTCACAAGAAAGAAGAAAACGAAGGTGTTGTTGAATTACTGTAGAAAGACTCGAACGTTCAGTTTCTTGTTCGAAGAGACACTCCATAAAGTACGAATTTCTTTTGTGAGCGTATGAATGCTCTAACTTTCCTTATGTTGCTGTTGGTTGTAGAGCTCAACAGTTTTTAAAGTTTTCAGAGTGCGAACAACTCTTAAAAGAAACTTAATGTATTGTAGCGTTCCCGCCTAGTTTTTCGAAGCAATCCATCGTAGAATTACTTCGTAATACGAAGAAATACTTGGGGCAAACCAGGGCCATTCAGCAGCGCCCAAAATGGACCATCGACGATTTGGCCCATTTTTGGCTCAAATGTTACCTACCCATAGGTAAACATCGGGGAAAAATTTCAGCCACCTAGGTGTCGTTTCATAGGAGTTATGGGCAATCTTAGTTTTTGACTTTTTTTCTTAAGTGGTTTTTGACCAAATTGCTACATTTTTCAAAAATCCCTCTCAAGTCCACAGTTTTGCCCCTAGTTGGCTGAAAAATCGTTCCCCAGCGTAAAATTGCATGAGGAATTCGATTTCAGGGCCCAAACGGACCCCTGGGCAGTCTATCATAGAGAAAAACGCCAGTTTTGACGAAAAATCACTTTTTTTAAGGTTTTACGTCGGTGCGTTTTAAACCTACACCCGAATCCAAACTTGGTCAACTCTATGCGGGAAATCGTACCTCACACTACCACCTAAAATAGCACGGCTCGACATTTGGGTGGTATGGGTATGGTTTGGGCGCTGCAGCCTTGGGAACTTTTAAATTATGAAAAACTAGCAAATTCCTCCTTACGACGAGGTCAACCCTCCTGCATTGGCTGTTTCGGGTTCAACTGAGGCCCCGCGATAAGATTTAAGTGAGAAAGGTCCTTCTTACCCCTCACTACCATCACTGACCTTCTGAGAAGCGCACTGAGGTCACTTCTTGGTCCATGGCTGCAGCCAAAATGACAGAATTGACGAAACGCCTGAAGGGTAGGCAACTTATCCTACGCGCCTAAGGGTAGGCAAATTATCCTACGCATGAGAGGGGCTGTTCTGGTCTAATAAAACATGTAGTCGAACATCTGCTTCTCATATTTTGAAGAGGATAATGATCACAATTTTGACAAATTTGGCATTTAGATAAAATACTAAGCTAGGTACAAAACTTGGCTCATTATACATTGAGCTAATGTCGTAAATTGCTGATCATTACACTAAACTAAGAACACAACTTTGCTTAACACATTCACGACCGCTCTGCAAACTCAACAGTGTACTCAGTACACTCTCTTTAGAGTGTACTCATGAGTACACTATCTTTAGCGTGTACTCATGAGTACACTCTCTTCAGCGTGTACTCACAAGTACACTCCCACGAACGTGTACTCAGCTGCATGAATTGTGCCGACTTAAGCACACTCTCGTTAGAGTGTACTCAGGTAAGCACACTTTCGTTAGAGTGTACTCAGCTAAGCACACTTTCGTTAGAGTGTACTCAGCTGAGCACACTCTCACAGGAGTGTGCTTATGAGTACACTCCAAATAGAGTGTACTGAGCACTCTGTACAGTTTGCAGAGCGGACTCGTTTTGGGCAAACTTCCGCTCAGCACCGGAGTCTACTTTGACCAAACCCTGCATCCTGCATCTCCCAGACCTCACGACTAGATATAAGCACGAATCATGCAATAACAAAAACCAACCAGCCGAAAAAAAAAATCCCGGGACCCCGTGCCCGGACGGTCGCAAGAGCTATGCCCATTGACGGGAACGGGGCTCCCGTGTGGACGCCAACGACACATCGGACGCGGGAACGCAGTACATATGGGAACACGGTCCCGATCAAAGTGAGTGCCAGAATCATTTTATTTTTCGAAAATAAGGAAGAAAACGCAAAATATCTCAGTTTGAAGCTTGTATGGCCGTTTTTGAGTCCGTGAACCGTGTACCCGGCCGGTCCTTAGAGACATGTTCAGTCCGGAAACACCGTTTCCGTACGTAAAAGCGGGTCAGCAAGCTAAATGAGGGTATTTAAGGAATCAGCGGAGGGACCCCAGGCCATTCCCTTACTTTTCGACCTGTTTTGAGCTGTTACAACCAACCCGATTTCCACACGGCCTTCTTGACGTGCAGCAGAATCGGGCCGTGTCAAGACTCGATCCGCTCCGCTGAATCCGAAAATACCCTCATTTAGCTTGCGGGGCTGCTCTTACGTATGGGAACGGTGTTCCCGGACTGGACATGTCTCTGACGACCGTCCAGGAATCATGTTTCCGTACCAAATTCATCGTACGAGGTCCGTTCAAAAAGTAACTTGCGTCTTCCTTTGAGGAGGTTCCAAAAAAATATGTCTCATGATCGTGACAATTCTGTGAGGCGAAATCGGAAAATCGGATTTGTCCGGGAGCGGTGTTCCCGGACGGTCGTCTGGACTTTTTCTCATGTGTTAAGCAAAGTTGTGTTCTTAGTTTAGTGTAATGATCAGCAATTTACGACATTAGCTCAATGTATAATGAGCCAAGTTATGTACCTAGCTTAGTATTTTATCTAACTGCCAAATTTGTCGAAATTGTGATCATAATCCTCTTCAAAATATAAGAAGCAGATGTTCGACTACATGTTTTATTAGACCAGAACAGCCCCCCTCATGCGTAGGATAATTTGCCTACCCTTAGGCGCGTAGGATAAGTTGCCTACCCTTCAGGCGTTTCGTCAATTCTGTCATTTTGGCTGCAGCCATGGACCAAGAAGTGACCTCAGTGCGCTTCTCAGAAGGTCAGTGATGGTAGTGAGGGGTAAGAAGGACCTTTCTCACTTAAATCTTATCGCGGGGCCTCAGTTGAACCCGAAACAGCCAATGCAGGAGGGTTGACCTCGTCGTAAGGAGGAATTTGCTAGTTTTTCATAATTTAAAAGTTCCCAAGGCTGCAGCGCCCAAACCATACCCATACCACCCAAATGTCGAGCCGTGCTATTTTAGGTGGTAGTGTGAGGTACGATTTCCCGCATTGAGTTGACCAAGTTTGGATTCGGGTGTAGGTTTAAAACGCACCGACGTAAAACCTTAAAAAAAGTGATTTTTCGTCAAAACTGGCGTTTTTCTCTATGATAGACTGCCCAGGGGTCCGTTTGGGCCCTGAAATCGAATTCCTCATGCAATTTTATAATGGGGAACGAGTTTTCAGCCAACTAGGGGCAAAACTGTGGACTTGAGAGGGATTTTTGGAAAATGTAGCAATTTGGTCAAAAACCACTTAAGAAAAAAAGTCAAAAACTAAGATTGCCCATAACTCCTATGAAACGACACCTAGGTGGCTGAAATTTTACCCCGATGTTAACCTATGGGTAGGTAACATTTGAGCCAAAAATGGGTCAAATCGTCGATGGTCCATTTTGGGCGCTGTTGAATGGCCCTGGTTTGCCCCACTTCATATTGCGAAGGATGTCGCACCGTAATACGAAACTATTCATCGTTGAGTTTGTAATGACTTCGTTTTCTTCGTATTTCAAAAGCGATGCTTCGTAGACTCTTAACTATACTGCAAATCCATGTGTGGAACAGAAAGGTCCACTAGAATGTAGTGTGCACACGTCCGCATTTCAAGTGTTCATTTCTCCATCTTTGGTTTCACAGTGCAGGTGAAGTTAGCCCAGCCGGAAGAAGTGCGGCAGTTGCAGGACGCCGCCAGCCTGCTGCAGGCCCGGTGCGCCTTGCTGGGGCAGCTGCTGCAGACGGCCAGCAACGACTGCGATGAGCAGCCGCAGGCGTCACCGGTGCTGGAAGCCCCGCCACCAGCGGATTCCCCTCCCAACCCGCCCCAGGAGGCCGTGCAGCGAGACGGGGCCGTGGTCAAAGTAAGGCACGCCTCACGTAATTAATGTTAATAAATATTACACTGCAAGTCCAAGTGTAGGACAGGTCGACACTTAAAGGCGTAGACCAGTTTGTCCTACGCTTGTAAGTGTCGACCAGCTGTCGGACGCTCTGAAGTGTCGAGTACACTGTGTCCGACGCCTGCATGTGTAGGACACTGTTTGTCCTACGGCAAATTACATTGAGTTTCCTATTGTGGCCCCACACTTCAGCCGTCGGACATGCTGTGGTCGACACTTGAGGGCGTCGGACACTGTGTGGTCGACACTTCCAAGCGTCGGACACAAGTGGCCGAAGAATTTATTTTCGTCAGTAGTTTTGCAAAGAAAATTAATGCTTCTTTCTTAGTAAATACCAAGTATTATCCTTGTTTGAACGAGTACCTTGTTTCTGAGTAGAAAGTTAGTTACGTGCTCAGAGTGTGCTGTTGTGTGGTCAATTGCAAGTGTTTCGAGCAAAGACCTCGTTAATCTCGTGGACCATTTTAAAAGCCCATGCGCTGCTCGGTACCTATCAAGTACTTGAAAGTGTTGTCTTCGTTGCTCAAAACATTTCTTTTCTCTCTACAAAGTATCACACGGTTGTAGACATTTCTGCTCAAAATACTCTAAATGCGAAACGCGTGAGATTTGGTTCACATCATCGTTCACATGTTCCTGAAGGTGAGACGCCATTCTTTAATATTTTTTTTTTTTTTTCGCACTTGCCATGTGAAGAACCCCGAAGCCCCTCAAGCCGGGACCGCCTTCAGTCCCTCAGAGTGCCGCGATTTCGCAGAGCTCTGCTTGCGCACGGAGTACTCGCAGGAAATGGCTGCCGTCCTGGAGGACCCCGGCCTGGCCAAGGTAAGGTGTGGTGTTGTCCATTCTGGCTTGCCCATTTTTGTGGCAAGCGAACTGGCCACCGACTTTGCTCTGTTCAGTCTACATGTCTCTTACTGAAGAAAATTCTCCACACACTAAATTCTTATGGACTTTTTAAATGCATAAGGACGCATTTTTTATGCATAGTTATGCATGCGCAGAAACGTCCATAAGGTACGTATAAAATTATGCATCACTGTGTACATTTTATGCATCTTCCTGCATAAAATGTACACAGTGATGCATAATATTATTATATTACATATGGACGTATCTGTGCATGCATAACTATGCATAAAAAAGTCCATAAGAATTTAGTGTGCATATTTTGGTGAATATTAAATGTATTATAGTGCATTCTAAATGCTGTACAGTGAAGATTCTCCATATTATGGTGATAATGATAATGTTCCATATTATGGCGGTGCAGCTGACTTCATAACATACCACTGAGAATTCACTGCGTACGGATACGTACGCAAGGTGTTGTATTATGCTTTCTGTGTAAATTTTATGCTGGATGATGCATAAAATGTACACAGTGATGCATAGTATGATACAAACCGTACTTACGTATCTGCCTGTGCATACTTAAAAAGTGCATAGTTATTTATTTTAAAAGTCCGCTGGAATTTAGTGAGAAAGTCATTGAGCTGAGTGCGTACTTGTTGCAGGTGCGCAAGCTGGTGGGGCTGGTGTGCGAGGGCTGGTCGGAGTGGTGCGAGGCCGTGCTGCTGCGCGCGGCGCTGCGCGTCGAGTGCCTGTCGCTGCACGACGCGCGTCCGGAGCACCTGACGGTGGTGGCGTGGATGCCCGCCCTGCGCCACCTCCACGTGCACGTGGCCCCGGACGTGGCCGACGTGCCGGACCTGCCGCTGCAGCTGGAGAGCCTGGACGTGACCAACGTGCGGCGCCGCCACCTGGAGTGCGTGCAGCGCATGCCGCTGCTGCGGAAGCTGGCGCTCGACTGGAGCGACGCCCCGCTGGAGGTGGCCTTCCCGCCCCTGCCGCCGCACCACTGCGGCCTGCGATGGCTGTGGGTCGCCCTGCGCCCCGCGTCCAGGTATTCATAGTTCCACCTCACACTTAAGGGGGCTCATACATGTTAAAAGCACTTTTTTTAAAAAAAAATTTGATGTAGACGGATTAAGATTTTACAATTTCTGTGTTAAAATCCTTTTAGATAATTGAGTAAGCTTCATTTTGGCTTAAGGGAAAGTGACTTTGGACATTTTTTGGAGATTTAGTCGAAACGTTTAAAATTTTGCTTCTCGTAAGATTTTGTTCGCATACTTGCTCAGATCTGTGGGGAAAAAATCAGGGAGACTCATCCCCAGTAGTGTCATAAAATTGACTAGAATGGGCTTTATATCTGCAATAGTTTTCAAGTAAAAAAATAAAAACAATTTTTTGTTGAAAAATTTGTTGAAAAAATTGGTAAAAAAATTGTTTTTATTTTTTTTCTTGAAAACTATTGCAGATATAAAGCCCATTCTAGTCAATTCTATGACACTACTGGGGATGAGTCTCCCTGATTTTTTCCCCACAGATCTGAGCAAGTATGCGAACAAAATCTTACGAGAAGCAAAATTTTAAACGTTTCGACTAAATCTCTAAAAAATGTCCAAAGTCACTTTCCCTTCAGCCAAAATGAAGCTTACTCAAATATCTAAAAGGATTTTAACACAGAAATTGTAAAATCTTAATCCGTCTACATCAAAATTTTTTTTAAAAAAAGTGCTTTTAACATGTATGAGCCCCCTTAAGTCCTTTCCGCACCCTTATAACCTTAAGATTGACACCCTTAAAACCTCACGAAGTATTTTGAGCTTACATACGTTCAAACTAAATTTCTTTGTTATACGAAGAAATAGTTTGTAAATTACGAAGTATTTTCTTTGGAAGCTTATGTATGCTCAAAAAACTTTGTCCCAACAAACTGTGTTGCTTTGTAAGGCCTGAAATAGTTTGTAAGGTTTCCTCAGTGTATTTTGAGCATACTTACGTACATCGTACATTGTACTTACGTACAATTAAGTTTGTTGTACGAAGAAATGGTTCGTGAATTACGAAGTATCTTGTTTGTAAGCTTATGCATGTATGCTCAAAATACTTTGTTCTATCCAGCTGCTTTGCTTTGTAAGGCCTGAAATCGTTTTGAAGGTTTTCTCAGTGGAGATGCCGTGTTTGTAAGGTTACGGATAGTTTTGCGCAGCCATATTGCGGATCGAATTTCGTTTGAAATAGGGATTTTTTTGTCCGTAATACGAAGGTTTAGGTGTCCGCACTGTGCGGACAATTTTCTTGTAACTACGGAAACCTTAACTGCAAGCAAATGTGTGAATTTTAGAACAAAAGTACAACAAAAACTGTACCATAGACCGTCTCTTATCTTTTCTGGACAGTGGTAAAACTGAACACCCCATATTTTCCTTGACACACCATGCACTGCAAATCCAAGTGTAGGACAGGTCGACACTTTAAAGCGTTGACCAGTTTGTCCTACGCTTGGAAGTGTCGACCACACACTGTCCGACACCTGCAAGTGTCGACCACAGAATGTCCGACGGCTGAAGTGTGGGGTCACAATAGGAAACTCAGTGTAATTTGCCGTAGGACAAACAGTGTCCTACACATGCAGGCGTCGGACAGAGTGGGATCGACACTTCGAAGCCTCGGACACAACTGGTCGACACTTGCAAGCGTAGGACAAACTGGTCTACGCTTTAAAGTGTCGACCTGTCCTACACTTGGATTTGCAGTGTGTCCACAGGCATACCAACAATCAGAAGTTGTTCCGTGGCATTAGCGTTTCATTACATGGTAGCTGTTAAGCCGGTGCACACGGCATTTGAAGTAAATTTTAGGGTGTCCAGTTCTTCCCCGGCCCGACCCTGGTGTGAAACTGGAACTGTTTCCAGCCCTGTGGAGAGTCATGTTGGTTTTCTGAAAGGTGGCTCGAGTTGTAAATTAACGTGGATTACCTAACGTGTTTGCTCTTTCCAGTGTGCTGTCGCTGGTTGCGGCGCACGCGGCCACGCTGCAAGACCTGCGCATCACGTGCGCGTCCGAGGGCGACACGCCGTGGCACTTCGCGGACCTGGCCGCCCGCCTGCGGTGCTGCAAGCTGACGGCGCTGCGGAGCGTGGTGCTGCTGCGGCAGGCGCCAGGCTTCCCCGACAACAAGCTGCCCCACGGCAAGGACTCGTGTCGCAAGCAGAAGCGCGCCGTGTTCAAGGACATCTCGGGCGACCTGCTCGGGGCCCGCGTGCTGTGCGGGGAGTGCGACAAGTACCCTGCCTATCCCTCGCGGGGCCCGCCATGGAAGGACAACTGAAACTGGACTCGGAGTTGGACTGAACGTGGTCCTGTGGTGGTTGGTTGGTGGTTTGCAGCCAAGTGAACCTTGCTTTCGAGTTTACCTATAGGTAAAGGGTATACCCTTTCCGTGAATAATATACACCAAAATCTTAGGCGATTTTTGTACCTTCGCCACTGCCTTTCGCTTAGGGTCAGGGCGGGGAAGACCTCGACAGGGGAAGAACTGAACACCCTATATTTCACTTCAAATGCTGTCTGCACAGGCTTAACAACTATCATGTGACAGACCGCTGATGCCACCACGGTAAAAACGGTTCCTGATTTTCCCAGGAACTCCCTGGGAATGGCTTATGTCTTTACCATAGGCTTCCTGGGAAAACCAGGTACCGTTTTTACCGTGACAGAACAATCTTTGATGGTTGTTATGCCTGTGGATATGGTATTTGAAGGAATATGGGGTGTTCAGCTTTTCCCCTGCCCAGTTCTTCTCCGCCCTGACCCTACATAAGCTTTTGCAACCACTCAAAAATGTCAACGAAGCATCTTTGTTGTAATTTTAATTTTAAAGAGGTATCTTTCGGAGCCTGGCTTGGCAATTGTTGGTATTCAATTCAGCCTGCCAATTTTGTAGAGAATAAACTCAGAAAAGAGTGATTTGTTTGAAACCTGCCGTGTAAAAGCACGTTTTCTATTAGTGTTATCTCCTGCATCAAGTGTAATGAGTTGATTTAGAGCAGGAGGTGCAATTTTGTGGTATAGCCAAAAAGTGTTTTATTTTGCATGCCTTTTTTCCAAGTGGGTCAGCCTGCGTCGGCCATGCGTATCACTTAAATTGTTTTTAGCTCTGCAGTATCTTTAACAAAAAAAGAGCTTACTATTTGACTTGCATATTGATGGCATAATTTTTGGGGATCTTACTAACTTGTGCCGCCTCAAGCACAGAAGGCTATGAAGTCTGTTTTTATTTATGCAATATTGTTTATATTTTTCGTTATGTTCAATGGACCTTGTGAAATAAATCGTGATATTACATATCATCTTTGTTAATCGTACTTGAAATTGCCCCTGATAAGTTGCATATTCCCTTTTTTACTTTTGCAGTGTGATGTGCTGCAGCACTCTAATGACACCTGATACTATTTCCGGGGCTATTTCGGTTCTGAACAGTCCTTTTCAAGCAAAGAGCTAAACTGGCGTCGCGGGACAAGTTTTAATTTGCCACCCAATAGAATGCGCAAATGGACAATTGGCACCCAGGGATTTATTGTAATGTCAACAGCAACGTATCATGAGAATTTCAGACAAATCTGTGATGGTCGAAAATTTCAGTTAAAACTGTGATGGTCGACCATTTGTGTCGGAAAAAAGCTGAGGCTTGTACTTCATGGTTTTACACAGTTAGGGCGAAAAATTTAAAATGACACCCAAATCTGAGTATGTTGTTCTGAAGACCTCTCATGAAACACCTGATACTGTTACAAGCGCCATTCCGATCCTAATTTTCTGGCGGGTACCCGGGTTTGCGGGTAAACCCGTGGACCCGGGTCTTGAACTCACTTAGCGTCACGGAAAAAGCCATTTTTAGAGCAAACAGAATGCGCCAAAGATAATAGAGTACTCCAAAGAAGCTCTGGCCCGGAAGAAGAAGAACAAAAACGGAAGTAAGAAATTGCAGTTTCTATGAGAAATATACGCTGCGGACCCTCATGCGCAGCGTATATTTCTCATAGATACTGCAATTTCTTACTTCCGTTTTTGTTCTTCTTCTTCCGGGCCAGAGCTTCTTTGGAGTACTCTATTGGGCACCGGGCATCTGTTTCTTAGGCCCATAGCAACGTTCCATATGAATTTCAGTCAAATCTGAGGTGGTCGGCCATTTTCGTTGAAAAAAAGCTAAGGCTTATACATCATGGTTTTTTCACGTTTTTGGCCAAAAATTAAAAATGGCCCAAACTTGAGTATGTTGTGCTGGAGGGCTGCCTTGTGACCCCTGACACTATTCCGAGGGTCATTTGGGGCCTAAACGGTGTTTTAAAGCGAAAAACTGGAATGCTTTCAAGATGCGCCGTGTAGGTAGGCAACCCACCATCCACACCTTCTGCAGCTCAACCAGTGTCACGGGAAAAGTCAATTTGACACCAAAATGAATGCGTCAAAGACCATTGGGCACCGGGCTTCTGTTCCTTAGGCCCATAGCAACGTTCCATATGAATTTCAGTCAAATCTGAGGTGGTCGGCCATTTTCGTTGAAAAAAAGCTAAGGCTATACATCATGGTTTTTTCACGTTTTTGGCCAAAAATTAAAAATGGCCCAAACTTGAGTATGTTGTGCTGGAGGGCTGCCTTGTGACCCCTGACACTATTCCGAGGGTCATTTGGGACCTAAACGGTGTTTTAAAGCGAAAAACTGGAATGCTTTCAAGATGCGCCGTGTAGGTAGGCAACCCACCATCCACACCTTCTGCAGCTCAACCAGTGTCACGGGAAAAGTCAATTTGACACCAAAATGAATGCGTCAAAGACCATTGGGCACCGGACTTCTGTTCCTTAGGCCCATAGCAACGTTCCATATGAATTTCAGTCAAATCTGAGGTGGTCGGCCATTTTCGTTGAAAACAAGCTAAGGCTATATATATACATCATGGTTTTTTCACGTTTTTGGCCAAAAATTAAAAATGGCCCAAACTTGAGCATGTTGTGCTGGAGGGCTGCCTTGTGACCCCTGACACTATTCCGAGGGTCATTTGGGGCCTAAACAGTCTTTCCCTGACGAAAAACTGGAATTTTTTCGCATGCGCCGCAGAGGTAGGCATCCCACCATTCAGAGCGTCTTGAACTCATCGTCAGGGGAAAAGTCTTTTTTTTTTTTAGAGCAAAACAGAATGGGCCAAAGACCATTGGGCGACGGGCATCTGTTTCTTGGACCGACTGGAACGTTTCACATGAGTTTCAGACAAACCTGAGGTGGTCAACCTATTTTGTCGAAAAAAAGCTGTATCGTTTTTTCACGTTTCGGGCAAAAAACTATAATCGCCCAAATTTCAATATGTTGTGCTGGAGCACACCCTTGAGACACCTGATACTGTTACATTCCGACCCTAAACTGTCTTTTTCCGGCGAATATCTTGACTGCTTTCTTGGAGCTTGCGCCGCGTAGGTGGGCGACCTATCGATCACAGCTTTTTTACTGGACCCGAACTCATTTGGCATCCTTGAAATGTCAGTGGCCTCCAACAGTTTTCGGGTTGCAACCCCAATATAGCTTTTATACTTTATTTTTTTTGTGCTCCCAAAAGGGTCGTAAGGTATTATCGTCCGTACGTCATAAAAAAATTGTAATGTTTTGAGTGAGTAAAAGTAAGTCAAATCTTCGGGAAAGTAATGTACACCAAGTGATACTTCGACGGTTTATTACACAATAGGTCAACAGTACAAAAACTGGAAAACGTTTTGAACAAGGCCGAGTCCCGGCTTTAGAATGTTTCCCACGCTACACTGTCACACGTATTGCACTGTACCAGGGTGTCCGGCAGCAAGCGGCGCAGCGGGGACACCTGCTCAGGGCAGGTCGGCATGTGGTAGTCTCTCCACAGTACCAGCCGCGAGACGCGGAGGCCGCAGTGGGCCAGCAGGCCGGCGAGGTCGTCCCATTTACTCGGCAACAACGCTTTGAGAGGGTCTTCCGGCAACCTAGGAGCCGACACGTGCAGCCACAGTTCGTCCAGCGACGCGCTGTGGGCCCGGAGCAGCGACACCAGGGTACGCGGAGGGATTGCCTGGACACGCAGCCACTTGAGACCGCCCGAGTGTTGCAGAGCGGGCAGCACGGGGTCGTGCTCGGAAGTGAAAGTCAGCTCCAATCGCCGCAGGCGAGGCATGGCGTGCAGTGCCTGAAGGTGCTCCTCACCGACGAACTCGAAGGAAGCCGCCTCCAACGTCGGGGCGGCAGCATGCAGCACGTCCAGGACCCAGGAAGGGTCTCTGTGACACTGCACTTTGGTCAATCGCAGAACCTGCAGACATAAAACAGCGACAGTCAATACGAGAGCAATGAGAATGAACACTCTGAAAACCTTACAAACTATTTTGATGATAATGATGCCTTTCAAAGCCAGCTTGTTGTAACAAAGTATTTTGAGCATACATAAGCTTACAAAGAAAATACTTCATAATTTACGAAAAATTTCTTTGTATAACAAAGTAAATTAGTTTAAAAATAGTTCATAAGGTTTTAAACGTAAAAGAGTCAAAACCAGGACTCCAATTTTGGGTGGGGTGTATATATACTATATTGCCCAAGTTAGAGTCATTTCATCGCCCAGAGTTGTGAAATGAAGCTTTCCTCATACCCAAATTTGGGTGATAATGCTATCTGGCCACTACATTGCCAAAAACAGTATTTCCATAGTTCATGGATAAAAATGTGCATAGAAGTTTTCAGATTCATCAGGTTGACCTTTAAGCAAAGTGGGTAATTTCATTATCATTTAGTCCGCCCAGGTTGTTGGTTTCCATACCCAATTTGTGATAAGCTATCCTGGACTCCATTGCAAAATCAGGATTTCCAATATGGATTTAAGAAATGTGCAAAATTTTGATTTTCATCAAGTTGACTTTGAAATTTCCCAAATTTCATATCTTTAGAAAAAAAAAAAATCAGTCGTTGTTGGCTCATACGCTCAGTCAACAAAAAAACAATTTGTGATAAGACTTAAGTGTTCCTGGTTGACACATACATGTGTCGTCTTGCATGGACTCAATTCTACTATGATGACTTGTCGACAAATTTTCATGAGGATTTCTCAATATGAGCCATACTTCTACAAAAACATAAAAATTTGAAAAAACAGGCAAAAAATTCCCTTTATAGCAATGCGAAAATTTGTGAATTTGTGTCTTAGATCAAGTTGAATTTGAAAATTCCGCTTCTAAAATCTCTATATCTTTAGAATAACTAAAAAAAAAATTTGAAGACTTTCCGTACCAATGAAAGACGCAGGAATATTTTTCCCCCAACGCTCTAAAAACACTAAAGTGGCACTTTTCTCAGAGACCATTCACTATTTGGGAAATGATGTTGATTTCCGAACTAACATATGCCCAAATAATTAAACGCAAAGCTTTCCCTGTCTGGGTATTATCCTAAAGTCTACTTGAAAGTTTCACCAGGGTCTCGATGTACAGTGCAGCGTACTGGTGTATATTCAGTTCATATATTCTCGCCGATGGCCTTTAGAACTCACCCCTCGCTGCTGCACGCGTTCCAGCGTGGCTGCCTTTTCTTTTTGACGATCTCCTGGGAGAGCCCAAGTGATGTTTTTCAAGTAAAGGTTTCGGATGCACTTCGATGCAGATGACGTCCCCACCGCTGCAATCTGTTCCTGCGAAAGTAAGAAGAACCTTAAGGGGGGACCCTGGTGAAACTTTCAAATAGGCTTTAAAATAATCCCAGAAAGTTGAAACTTTGCTTGATTATTAGGTTCATTATGGTGAGTTCATAAAACAAAATTCAATCCAAAATGTTGAACGGTCTCTGAGAAAAGTGGGTTTTTAGTGTTTTTTAGAGCATTGGGGAAAAATCTTCCTGCGTCTTTCATTGGGACGGAAAGTCTTGAAAAATTTGTTGGGTTATCCTTAAGATGTATAGAAGAGATTTTAGTGACGGAATTTTCAATTTCAACTTCTGTCCTGAGATATCAATTTTCAAATTTTAACATTTAAAAAAAGTGAATTTTTTTGCCCTTTTTGAAACTTTTAGGTGAGTGTTAAAAAAAGTAGGGCTGATATCAAGATTCCGTCACTAAAATTTGTCGATAAGTCACCAATGAATAGAGTCCATGCATGACGACTCATGTAGGTGTCAACCAGGAACGCAGGAAGTCTTTCTACGACAAAATTTTTTGTCGACTGAGTAAAGCTGTGAAGTTGAGCGTATAAGCCAACGACAACTGATCTCAATGTTATTTCTTTCCAAATGATGAAGGAACTACCCACATAGTTTAAAGGCGTTCAACCTGTTGAATCGGAAACCTTCTATGCACATTTTTATCTATGAACTTTGAAAATACTATTTTTGGCAATTTTGGTCATTTTTTCACCAGGGTCCCCCCTTAACATTTCCACTGTGCATATGTTATGCACAAATCTGTCCATAAATTAGGTACAATTTTAAAAATATTCCAGCACAACATGAAGACATCGGCCCTAAATTATGTACGAAATTGCACGTAGCACATGTACATAACTTCGGTATGCACAAATATGGCAATAGTTATGGGCCAAGAAAGTACATAAACATCTAGTGTGCCTATGGAACGAACGCCAACGATTGAAGGGACACATTGCTGAAACTTACCCCTGCTTTCTTGTTCACTTGGCGTTCTGCGTGAGACCCGGACCTGAGAAGCGGGCCACGTGGCCCGAAGTTGTCCAGGCGGAAGGCCTTCTTGACGGCGATGCGGGCGGCAAGGACGACGGTGGGAGCACCTGAGAGAGAGAGAGAGAGAGACAGCGTTAAAGCCGGTTGGTCACGGACCACGCTCAACCAAACAAGCCCAAAGCAGAACACTGGCAGAAAAATAATCGAACTAGGGTAAATGGAGCACACGTTTCAAACAGGAAGCAGATATATTGCTAGCATGCATCATGCATGGTTGCCATCTTCTCTCTTCTGTGACAGGATTCATTTTTTGTTTTAAATTCAGATCAGGCTGGTTATAGATGTGTAGACACATTAGATCTACCGTGTGTTGTTGACTGTAGGACACTCTCGAATCCAACTAAGCAAAACACGAAAAATATGCTCTATGGATATAATTCGACACAATAATTAGACACAATTATTCGACACAATCCGACACGCACATTCCGAAAACAGTACAAAACTGGAGAACATCATAAACGATGATCGAGGTCTGGCTCTAAAACCGTTCCCACGGGACCTTGCCACACGTTTGGCACTCCACCACGGCTTCGGGCAGTGTGCGCTGCAATGGGGAGAGCCATTCCCGGCACCTGTACATGCTGTGCCAGCGCAACGGGTAGTGGATGAAGTCCCACAGGATGATCCGCGCGCCGCGGAGACCGCTCTGGCGCAGCAGGTCGGGCAGGTCCTCGCGATTGCCCTGCAGCCACAGCACCTCTAGGGTCGCACTGTGGGTCTGCAGCAGCGACACCAGGCTGGGCCCAGCCAGTGCACCCACGCGCAGCCACTTGAGGCCGCCCCGCTGCAGAGCGGGCAGCACGGCAGGCGGCGCGTTCGGGGCCTCGGAGGATTCCAGCCACATCCGCCGCAGTTCGGGCATGGCGTGCACCACCCCAAGGTGGGCATCGTCGGGGTTCCAGACGGAAATCTCCTCCAGCGTGGGCGCGGCACCACGCAGGACAGCCAGGACCCAGTCAGGGTCTCGCTCGCACCACACGTTGGTCAACCGCCGAACCTGCACACACAAGGCACCGAAGTGAGCACCACTGGCAACGCACTACTTTTTAAATTCATAATTTATATGCATTTATATGCATAATTGTGCGTGCACAAACACGTACGTAAGGTGTGTATAAAATTATGAAGCATTTAATGCATCTTGCGGCATAAGATGCACACAGTGATGCATAAAATTGCATTAAATAGGTCCACAAGAATTAACTGTGAACTCACAACAATCAACTTTCGAACGCGGCTTTAAAACATGCGACGAAAGTCAAGACAAAATTAAGCTAATCTAAAATTCTGGTGATCATGCATCCATAATTAACACTCATCTTCGAGCTGACTTTGTCTCCAAAGGCCCCTGTGCAAAGGCCACCGCCTCCAGCCTCCAGCATCGAAGGCGGCATCCTCTAACATCCTGCAGAACTCACCCCTCGCTGCCGCAAGCGTTGCAGTGTGGCTGCCTTCTCCTCCCGTCGTTCTTCCGGCGTCGCCTCGCACAGGTCCTTCAGGTCGAGCTCTTGAATGCACTCCCGCTGGGCTGGAGGCGTGGCTGCCGCTGCGGGCTGCGGTTCCTGCAGTGGGGGAGCGGAGCTGAGTGTTGGAACCGACATGATAGACTTAGACTCTTCGACCAGAGTTCAAGGAGAGGAAAGGTGAGGAGAAACAATAGCCTAGCACGCCCAATTTTTAAGCTTTGACGAACTTACACCGAAAATTGAAAAGAAAGACATCTAACGCATAGAGGAGTGAGACATACTTTGACCGGAAATGAGAAATGATCGGAAATAGGAAATTTTCGAATGTACAACCGTAAAAGGGTGATAATTTGCATGATCATCTGACAGAACAACGTATCTTCATAGGCAATCCAACAGTAGATACGCTGTTATGTACGAGTGTCAGTACCAAAAAAAAAATGTGAAACTTCTGCGTTACCGACAATAGGTGATTTTTCATATCAGAAAGCAAGGACCAGTCTCCCTGATGTCTGACCGACCTTAGCGGTGATTCTTAGGAGTATTTTCTTTTTCAGTGATATTTGAGTTACCTCTTATTTCGGTGATCGCCGATAACTGGTCAGATGTCTCACCCCTTGGAAGTCGATGACTTCGGAAATTTACCATTGTTTCCTCCTGCACGGTTGCTTCTCCTCGGTTTGGGTGCGACGCGTGCTGCTTGGACACGGGAAGGAAGTTGTCCACCAATATCCAACGCCCGAAGTTGTCCCGGCGAAGGATCCTGTTGACGACAACGCGGCCTGAGGGAGCGGCGGCAGCACCTGGAACGGAAACGGCGTTAGTGCCGCTGGGGAGCAGGCAGCGTTGTGGATCCCAACACTCACTCAGCACCGTCACCACCACAACCTAGGGCGAGGGGGCATGCACTCTCGAAACCTGTGACCCGACTATCGCGCTATTACGCTCTATTACGCCTCAAATAGGGATTTAGCTAAAAACACTCAAAACTAGATTAACATTGGCGAATTCCGGCTATTGGTATACGCTATCTCGCGTACTATTATCACTGAAATTCAAAGGGTGAGGCATCTCACCAATTATTAGCGATACAAAAAGTGCGACCGAAAAAAGGCTACACACAAATATATGACCGAAAAAGGGTCATACTTAATTGTATGACCGAAAAAGGGTCATACTCAAGCGTGACCGAAAAAAGGGTCATACTTAATGTGACCGAAAAAAGGGTCATACTTAAATGTATGCCCGAAAAAAGGTCAGACATCAGCGACACTGACTCTTTGCTTGGCTTGGGGATAAATCAACTTTTATCAGTGATACAAAAATGTATGATCCTTTTTCGGTCTCAGTTACAGAAAAATTAAAATATGTATAGAATGACCGAGTTTATTGCACAGGACATATGAGAGGTCGGTAGAGAGTGTGTGAGAGCTGAAAGGTAGGGCGCCATGCAGTCAGAAACTGCCCGCTCAAGCAAACTAAAATATTTATAGATAATCTAAAGTGGTCTCAGTGTGGGAGGAATACGGAAAACATGACAAACAGACATGCCATATAATTTGACTAAACTATGAAAATTACACTAACAATGACTGAAAAGACAAAGTACCAACCAAGAACAAAGTATACAAAAATCAAAGGAAGTGGAATGAGTTGACTAGAGTTGCTTTAAAAACTTAATGAAATGGAGAGAATTTCAATAAGCAAAAACCCAGGCCAACACATACACTAGGCTCCGTCCAAGGCCTACTAGTGGCTGCCATCCTAACTAATACTTTGTCTAACGTAAAAACCCAATATTTTATTGTTGCGATTCACCAAATACAATGCTATAGACTACTAATGAAACTGATGCAGAAAATTGTTCAATACGGAATTTGAAAAAGAAAATATGGGTTTACTTGAGCTGGTGTTCCTGAGATTCTAAAGCAAGGCCCCTATACTGTACGACACTAAACCGTGGTTTTACCAGCACATTGGAGACACACTAAACTGTACAAACACAAATACCTAATACTAAAATCTAAACTGACTGAATGTACTGATTAACTATGTACATATGAAAATATTCACAAAACTTACGCAAACCAATAGCTTAGCACAATAAGACTACACAGGACAAGCCTGGTAGCATTTTAGAAAAACTGAACTTAATCGGGTAACTCAAATGTAAGAAACTATTTGGTGGCCCAGTGGTCAAAACTCAAACTGAACCCGATGCGTCTCACTGGCTGGGCTATCCAAATAGAACAAAACAGAGAGTTACATAAATAATATAATCCTGCTTGATACTAATTAGTTGAATAACTTTACATTAAACTGATTCAATAGAGCATGAGGAAATTGAGTATAGAAAATAGCCAGACATCGGGAAAACAACTTAGAAATAAGATGGAGTCTGTAAACTGCGAATGAAAAACTGTACCATGGGGAAACATTTTAAACGAAGTATGTTACATGAACAACAACTAGAAAGACCAATATTAAATTATGACACGGAACTCTGTATATAATTTGAGACTACTGGACTGAATAGCATGATGGATTCATTAAACCTAACCTTTAGAATTTGGATGGACAAAATCAGGACGTGTTTTCACCCATACAATTAGGTGGTGATATTAGTACCACAAAGAAAAATATACACCAAAGAGAGTACAGTGACAGTGGTTTACATTATAGGTTGTTAACAAAGAAAATAAAGAGTTTTGAATCCGCTTCGTGCAATAACCATTTGAGTGTGTATGCCGCAGGTCACAGTGGACAAGCATAAAGGGCAACCCTCCTTCTCAAAGGATGAGGAACCAAAGAAACATAATATTGCCAAAGTACATTTAACCGGTGTGGGGATAACATGTCATTTATACCCACAAGCAGTATTGGACAACTTGGGAGGCTTGCACAACTCTTGACCAAGTGTTTGATTTCGTGAACACGCGCCCCTCGCACACACAAGACATTCTATTCTCCATGCACAAGGTTTTGCTGAGAGGGTGATAACTTTCGGGATACATGTCCAAGAGTCAAGAAATGATACTGTCAGCAATGAGAAGCGCCATATTTGGTACAACCAATAAATGGACGCGGATAAAATAAACGGGGTAGCTCGCAGGTTAAAAACTGAACGCAGGCAGCACGCGGAAAATAGTCATTGACTGACACAACACCTTACTTCAAGGTTTCATGTCGTAGAGGAGGGCTTCGTCCAGGCGCGTTCACTTCATGGGAGGAGCAGGCTCAATTACATGAAGGGTCAGATGACTGAGGCGAGCACGGAGCGCCGGTACCGGGTTGCATCTCGGGAGGATCTCAGGTCGCCTTGTCGGCCATAACACAGGTCTGGAGACGATGGACGAAAAACCTGTTGCAGAACAGTTGCGATCACACATGCGAACCAGGTTAAGGAGGACAGCAGCTAACCCTACCAACTCTACCGGCTAACGACACACTTCGATTTGACGCTAAGCTTCGTGGGGAGATCGCAAAAATTTAATTAGATAGCAAGAGCAGAGCTTGGAGAGCGCGCTTGGCTACAGAAACTTACCGCTTCGCGATGGATAGAAAAATTTGGAATGGATTTAGATGAGGTGAGCGCGAGGCAAAACGGCAGTCGGGAACAGTGTCGCGTCGCACTCTGGCGGTCGGATTTTGAATCATTAGGAGAAATTTTGCGGGCGCCGTTCGCCGAACAGATGGCGGGATGATTTGAAATGCAGGGGCAAAGAAACGAGAAAAACAAAAGAAAAGAAAAATAAGACGGACAAGTAAACAGTAAGGTAGGTAACAGAAAAGAAAAGACAGAAAAAAAACAAAAAAGAAGTTAAAAACCGTAACAGCTTCTCATGTCCGGGTCCCCTACTGAACGCAAAGAAGCCGGCGAGGGCTGGAGGATAGGTATCGAGCGGCTTTAAAACCTTCCCTACGAACCGAACTCTCAACTCAGTCTCTTACAAACGCATGCAGCAAATGCGTCCACGGCCATCAGCAAAGAAGACTGGAGCTGCGCAATGAAAATACTTCGTACTACTTCGCGTGGAATCAACCATCGAGTAAACTGCTCATTGCCGTACGGGGTTTATGTCAGGCATCTGCAATGTGCAGTGTACATGGTGGCCGACGCCACGCGAAGTCACACGCGTTGACACTTGTTTCTGGAGTACACGACATGTTTAAAGTTAAATCTAGCTCCCGGTTCGGCCCCATCGGCCCGCAGCCACGGCAGCTCCGCGGACGCACTGTCGGGCAGCGGGAGCAGGGAGCGTCCAGGGAGTGCACTGGCAGGCAGCCGCTCGAGGCGCCCCGCAACACAGTGGGCAGCGCGAGTGGCAGTGCGTCTGGCGCCTCGGCAGATTCCAACCACATCCGCCGCAGTCTGGGCGTTGCGTGCGGCGCCAAGGCGGTCATCGTTGGGGTTCCGGGCAGCAACCTCCTCCAGCGCAGCGACACCACGCAGCACGTCCGGGACCCGCGGTGGCGGCAGGGCAGCGGCACCTGCAAAGGAGACACGGCGTCAGAACCGCTTCGAGGCGGACGGAGGGCATGAAGACAACCAAAGTGAATCCATAGTATTTCGAACTGTTTGTAAAAATTGTAGAATGTCACAACTCATTGTCTAAAGAATACTGTGTTCAAGTATTTTTATTATGCATTCTAGTAAGCTCCAATGCAGAATATTACTTAAAACTAGAGCAACATCAGTCTCGAACTCATCCAGACGCTCCTTTTATCAAAATGCTGTTCTCTGATCTCACCTTTGAGAAGACAGACCTCACAAGTATCAATAGATTAGTCGAGGAGCCACCAACGAGCAGCGAAAACTGAAAACAAGTAAGGAACGCTTCTGACACGAAATCATGAGTAAGAACACACAGGTGTTCATGCGGTGTCAACCATCGAGTATCCTTCTGACTGTTGCAAATAGTGTACGCCAGGCATAAACAATAGGCAGTGTGCTTGTTGAGGCTGCGCGAAAACACATGTAATGAGTTGAGTTAAAAAATAAGTAGAAACACTGAGAATGAAGGAGTCATGATCATGACCAAAATATTGGGTGAGGAATTCTTTATTACCCAAATTTGGGTGAGGCAATTTTCCTTGCCCAAATTTGGGTGAGGCAATTTTCCTCGCCCAAATTTGGGTGAGAAAGTAAACCTCGCCCAAAATTGGGTATTGATCATCATTTCATTCTCAGTTAAGTCTTGTCTTGGTTCACGCCTTTAGTGCACAGGATGGTAAATTCAGACGAAAAAGAAAACTTTATTCGAAATAAGACAAACAAAAGAATACTTGCACAAAGTACATTGAAAGAAGAACCTAAGCGTGTCCTAAACTCTGTGTGCACCGTGAAAAACAAAACGCATAAATAACTGCAATATCACGCTTCTTAAACTGAATTAAGGATTCCATGTAGCTAAATTGGCAACAAGGCGCGTAAATTTGACAAAACTTTACTACATATCATCTTTTGGATAAGCAATGAAAGCGCTATAACTGTGCAAAAAAGCAGCACATAAAATAATATGCAAAAGACAGCAAGAAGGGCGATTGAACACAAAGATGCAAAGGGTGGCACGAAAGGACTCTACATAAACAGACAATTTGGCCAAAACGCGGCTAAAAAATACTGACAATCACATAACGTTCAGGATCAGCCATGTTTGTCAATGTGTAGCAAGAGTTAAAACTGTTAAGCTTCTTGAGCTCACCCAATGTCAAATACCTTGCTTTTACTTGTTGGGCTTCTCCCCTGTGTGAATTATCATGTGACTTTGAAGCTTGTCTGATCTGGAAAACTTTTTCCCGCACTTGTCACACTCGTGGTGTTTCTCACCAGTGTGAATAAGTTCGTGCCTTTGAAGCTTATCTGACCTGGCAAACTTACTTCCGCACACGTCACACTCGAAGGGTTTCTCCCCAGTGTGGATTCTCGTGTGAACTCGAAGAGCACTTGAGTCAGAAAACTTCTTTCGGCACTCTTCACAGTGGTAGGGTTTCTCCCCAGAGTGGATCCTCTTGTGAACTCGAAGAGTACTTGAGTCAGAGAACTTCTTTCCGCACTCGTCACACTGGTAGGGCTTCTCGCCGGTGTGGATCCTCCTGTGCACATCAAGACTATTTGACTTTGAGAACTTCTTTCCGCACTCTTCACACTGGTAGGGTTTCTCCCCAGAGTGGATCCTCTTGTGAACTTGAAGAGAACTTGAGTCAGAGAACTTCTTTCCGCACTCTTCACACTGGTATGGTTTTTCCCCTGTGTGGATCCTTCTGTGAACTTGAAGATGGTGTGAATGAAAGAACTTCTTTCCGCATTCTTCACACTGAAACGGTTTTTCCCCGGTGTGGATCCTTCTGTGAACTTGAAGATGATGTGACTGAAAGAACTTCTTCCCGCAGTCTTCACACTGGTAAGGCTTCTCCCCGGTGTGGATTCTCCTGTGAACTTGAAGGTGACTTGACCGAGAGAACTTCTTTCCGCACTCTTCACAGTGGTAGGGCTTCTCCCCGGTGTGGGTCCTCTCGTGCCTGACAAGATCCTTTGCACTACTGAACCCCTTGCCGCACAGCCCGCACGAGTGCGGCCCGCCCTTGGCGTGCCTCGCCAGATGCCGCCTCAATGCCGCCTCCGCACCGAAACACTCGCCGCACTCTCCACACTTGAAGCCGCGGCGCGCCTTCCTGCCTGCCTCCCTGCGCGAGGCCTGCTCCACCGGGACTGCGTCGCCAGCCGGCACTGCCAGCGAGAAGGTCTCGGCGATGAGGAGCTGCTGGGCCTCGTCCGCAGCCACGCCTGCAACCGAGGGCACGCTGAGCCAGTCTGTCTTTGTGGAACCAAACTTTGGACCGCGCCATGCCTCACCCTGGACGTCGCTTTCCGAGTCGCCACCTCGGCAGGCCGCGCCGTGCTGTGTGTGCAGGTCCTGCGGGGAGAGCAGCGGGATGAGGCACAGCCATCAATATCCATCCACTATCAAACGCAATACAACACCGAAAAAAACGGTTCCTGGTTTTGCCAGGTAGACAGGCAGTTTGCAGTGTGTTCCTGCGGAAACCAGGGACCGTTTTTACACTGCAGATTTTGTTAACATGTGGGAGATCCACGCAACAGCCCGGAGAACTCACCCACTGCAGCTGAAAACGAGGCAAACTGGGTGGAGCAGCACTAGGGCTGTCGAGGCTCTGAAGACACTCCTGGACAGACGGCACGGCTTCCGCTGCGTCCAGCGGACCCTGCAGAAGAGACTGACTGTTAGAACCACCAAAACATTAACTGTGCCAATTATTTTCGAGTTTTTAAGGTTCTGGAACTGGTAGTTAAATTGTAAATGATTTGCAGGTTGTGAAAAATTAACTTCATTCTGCGACCTGTATTTTTATTACGAATAAATTTCTGCAATGCGTTTTGAACTACGTGCTGCAAACTTAAGACTCGGCAAATTCAAAGCACCCGAATTCTTCGCAAGGTTCCATCGCCGTTTAAAGCCTACCCTGGCTTCCTCGTGCACGCCCGCTTCTTCCTCAGACTTCATCGTCGCAGCCTTCCAAATAAAGAACGCATCGCCAGGGCCTTCCCGCTGCTCGGCTTCCACTTTCAATTCCACAACAGTCACGTCACTGGAACTCGTCTCCCCGGAGTCTGGCACGTCCTGCTCCAGCAAACAAGTGCCCAACATTCAGTGGTCGCGTTAAACGTTCTGACGAAGGACTCGGGAACTCGTCGACCTGAAACTTTTCTTTTACCTGAGCTGCTCTGGATTGGCTGCCACAGTGATGCGCGCCGTGGCTGTCCGAGGACTGCGGCTGGGACAGCAGGGGACCGCGTGGACCAAAGTCGTCCTCGCAAAAGGCACTCTTGGCAGCAAAGCGGGGAGCACCTGAAAGGCACTTGGCATTAGAAACGCTCGACTTTTAATACCGAATTCACAGCCACGTGCAGTACATGCAACCGAAGCATCCAGGACCGCCAACAAAATACGAATACGGGAGCAGTGGATTTTCATGCACATTAGAATGCTTAGAAAAGAATCAAACACTCACAAAAACAAGCAGATGGCGTGCAAAAGTACAGTGTAAACCAAGGTGAAAAAGGTTATCTCGCTCGTTTTAAGAAAATATACAAAGGCAACAGGTGCCGCAAAATATAAGTAAGAAGGAGTTATGAAGTGAAAACGTAAGTGAAAACGCTTTGTGTTTCTTCGCGTGGAATCAACCATCGAGTAGACTGCTCATTGCCGAATGGGGTTTGTGTCAGGCATCTGCAATGTGCAGTGTACATGGTGGCCGACGCCACGCGAAGTCACACGTGTTGACACTTGTTTCTAGAGTACACGACATGTTTAAAGTTAAATTTAGTTCCAGGTTCGGCCACATCGGCCCGCAGCCACGGCAGCTCCGCGGACGCACTGTCGGGCAGCGGGAGCAGGGAGCGTCCAGGGAGTGCACTGGCAGGCAGCCGCTCGAGGCGCCCCGCAACACAGTGGGCAGCGCGAGTGGCAGTGCGTCTGGCGCCTCGGCAGATTCCAACCACATCCGCCGCAGTCTGGGCGTTGCGTGCGGCGCCAAGGCGGTCATCGTTGGGGTTCCGGGCAGCAACCTCCTCCAGCGCAGCGACACCACGCAGCACGTCCGGGACCCGCGGTGGCGGCAGGGCAGGGCAGCGGCACCTGAAAGGAGGCACGGCGTCAGAACCGTTTCCAGGCGGACGGAGGTCATGGGGGCAACCAAAGTGAATCCATGGTATTTGGAACTCTGTTTATAAAATCTGTAAAAAGTTACAACTCGTTGTGTTAAGATAGCAGTTGTCAATATGATTTTATTGCACTCTAAACAAAGAAGATAACGTCAAACTTGAGCTACATTAGTGTAGAACTCATCGTGAAGCTAAGCTTCAACCGTGGAGAAGCTCCGGGCTGGTAACGCCTTGCAAGATTTTGACCTCGTTCGAACCAAAGATGAGCAGCGAAAACTGATTTCCACCCTCGAGTATAGAGCTCATTGCTGCAAGCAGCAAAATAAGGCATTTGTTTTTTTGCAATCATGATGGCAAGGCTACCGCTGCGAGAAGTCGACAGTTCAAAAAAGGTTTTTTACTTATGGTCTAATTCACGCTATATACCCAGGAAGTGCTTACTGAAGGCGACATTAGAGACTTTATTTGCAACAAGTACAAAAGTGCATAACATAATGGAAGAACATTCCAAGAAATATTTGGTCAAACGAAAATACCTGGCAAGTCGTTGAGACTAAACAAAACGATTATAACTAATGACATTTGACGCTGCAAGAGCGGATTAAGTATCTTATGACGCGCAAATTGAACAGAATCCTTTCACAAAGAACCTTAACGTATAGGAATGAAAGCGCATTAACTGAGATAGAAGACGGCACATCGCAAACATGCACATGAGGGGAGGAACGGCGAAACATGCAAGGCGCACAAGATTCGCAGACAGTTCAACAAAACAATTAAGAGGTAGTAGCTGCGAATTTCCTCCTGTGCTACTTTAACCAGTTATGATTATCCACTTTGTGAGTTTTCCTGTGCCTTTTTAGATCATTTGATGCGGAGAACTTCTTTCCGCACTCGTCACACTTGTATGGCATCTCCCCGGTGTGGATCCTCTTGTGCACTTGAAAATAGGTTGATTGAGAAAACTTTTTTCCGCACTCGTCACACTTGTAAGGCTTCTCCCCGGTGTGGATCCTCTTGTGAACTTGAAAATGACTTGATTTAGAAAACTTTTTTCCGCACTCGTCACACTGGTATGGCTTCTCCCCGGTGTGGATCCTCTTGTGAACTTGAAAATGACTTGAATCAGAAAACTTTTTTCCGCACTCGTCGCACTGGTAGGGCTTCTCCCCGGTGTGGATTTTCCTGTGCCTTTGAAGATGACTTGAATCGGAAAACTTCTTTCCGCACTGTCCACACTGGTAGGGCTTCTCTCCGGTGTGGATCCTCCTGTGAACTTGAAGATTACTTGAATCGGAAAACTTCTTTCCGCACTCTTCACACTGGTGCGGCTTCTCCCCGGTGTGGATCCTCTCGTGCCTGACAAGATCCTTTGCACTAGTGAACCCCTTGCCGCACAGCCCGCACGAGTGCGGCCCGCCCTTGGCGTGCCTCGCCAGATGCCGCCTCAATGCCGCCTCCGCACCAAAACACTCGCCGCACTCTCCACACTTGAAGCCGCGGCGCGCCTTCCTGCCTGCCTCCCTGCGCGAGGCCTGCTCCACCGGGACTGCGTCGCCAGCCGGCACTGCCAGCGAGAAGGTCTCGGCGATGAGGAGCTGCTGGGCCTCGTCCGCAGCCACGCCTGCAACCGAGGGCACGCTGAGCCAGTCTGTCTTTGTGGAACCAAACTTTGGACCGCGCCATGCCTCACCCTGGACGTCGCTTTCCGAGTCGCCACCTCGGCAGTGGGAAGTTCCGTCCAACGGGCTCTCCGTCTTCACGTCCGCGCCACCTGCAAGCAAACGCAAGGCTGGAGTTCCTGCAGGGGAGAGAGTCCCTCCCTTCACCTCGACGCGTGCGTGGAAGCAAAGCCAATAGCCAATGATTGCAACCTAACCCACCGCCACCACAACTACACAGTGAACATAACCAGCACCAGGAACTACGCAGTGAAAGGGGCATGAGCCGCAAGACAGGTTTTGACGAGGACACAGCGAGAGTCTTTCACATGCGGGGCAGGAGATGTGGCGGTAGAAGCTCGGGTACAAAGGGCGGTGCAGGGGTCGGTGTGCGCTTGGAAGACTCACGGCACTGCACTGGTAAAACTGAAGCGTAACCCTAACGCTATGCTTGAGTCAAGCATAAAGTTACGCTTGAAATGAAGCATACTCTGGAAAATTTTCCCCCCTGCATTAAGATAGGGAGAATCTTGGCCGATGCTTGATTTCAAGCGTAAACTGATTACGCTTGGAAACGGAGGGCAATACTACGTTTAAGTTTTACCAGTGTAGTACAGCCAGGTGCGGCTTGCAGGTACACGGAATTCGGCCGTGCCCACATACGTGCATCTCGAACCATCAGCGCACTTGGAAGATCCTTCAAATTAAGGAAACTGAAGAGCAAATCCTGAGTATGAAAAAAGAGGACAATTCATTAGAGTTTAGTGTAAACGTAAAGCTCTTACGACTGAATAAATTCATAATTCTACTTGTTTCGTTTGCAGTTCTTAGATTTGAGTTCATGTCCGGCTGAAAAAAGTCATCGGAAAGTGCAGGGATTAAAACTGTAAGACCAAGACCCAAACGGACTTTCAGAATTCTTAACAGCGTCAGTAGGGTCAGGGCGGGGAAGAACTGGACAGGGGAAGAACTGGACACCCCATATTTTACTTCAAATACCGTAGGCACAGGGAATAACAACTATCAAAAGTTCCGTGGCATCAGCGGTTCATTACACGACAGTTGTCAGACCAGTACATACGGCATTTAAAGTAAAATGGGTGTCCAGTTCTTCCCCTGTCCAGTTTATCCCCGCCCTGACCCTACCATCCCCCTTTTCCCTTTATCTTTAATAAATTACCCCAATTGTGAAAGTGGTTATTAGTAGTCCGCAACCGCCCAACTAATCTGATCAAATTTTTTAACGGATATTTTTGGACATCTTTCCTTTTGCGTTAAGGGTACGAACAGTTCAGGTCCTAGAAGTCAAATACACGCGAGACTTTGTGGAAATTATTTAATACATAAGGCAAAATTTAAAGTATACAAAGGAAGAATAAAGAAACGTGTCTACAGATTTTCCCATGGAACCCGGCCACACGATTGACACTGCACCAGAGCACCCGGCAGCCTGCGTCGCAACATGGTAAGCTGCTCGGGGCAACAAGAGCGCCTGTGGTTGCGTGACCTCCACAGCACGAGCCGCGAGAGGCGGGTGTCGCACGACAACAGCACTTCTACTGGACTCTTG